TAATACTATTGCTGAGTCATTTTCCTTTGAATTTTTTTAGGAATGTCCCTACTTTTTCCTGTACCATTTTATATTCCCACAATCACCACAGAGGGTTCCAATTACTGCACCTCCTCACCAACACTTGCTATTTTTGACGTCTTACTTTTAGTGAAGGTCATTCTAATGGGTGATATCTCGTGGTGTTTTTTGTCTGGTTTGGAGCCACATGCAGCAGTGCTGGAGGCTACTCCCAGCCTAGGGCTCAGCGGCTGACCCTTGTGCTTATCTGTTGCTCAGAATGGACCTAGAGCTCCCACATGGGAATCCGACGCTCTGGTCCTTTGAGCCATCTCCTGGACCCTGAGCTGTAGTTTGGATTAGCACATTTCTTCTGCCAGCTATTTGTACTTTTTAGTTCTGAACTTTAAAACTTTGTTAGATTTTCTCTCTCTACTGGTATTTTCATTTTTGTTTTCACATTGTTCTTCCCCACAACACCTTGTATAATCCACCATCAGGTCTTTTTCACGAATAACTGGTTTATTCCTCCCTCTTAAATGTCTTTTATAAACACTGCTATACTGTAGTAACTCTAGAATTTAGTCTTTCCCTTTCTCTCAGTTTACTGCTTCTCATTTTGTTTTAAATGTAGGCTTCCCCCCCAGACTAAGGGTCAGCCTGAGGTGAAACTTAGGGTCTTCAAAGGCCATTCTGAGTCAGCACCTTTTGGGCCTGCACAGTGACTTTCAGATTAACTCCTATACAATTGCTTTTTAATATCCCAGTCTTTGATGTCCAGCTTCCAAAAGGGAAAAAGAAAAATTTAGAGCAATGGAAGGGGTTGGAGAGATAGTACAGCGGGTAGGGCACTTGCCATATACATGGCTGACCCAGGTTCAACTCCCAGCATCATATATGGTCGCAGTTCCTGACAGGAGTGATCTTAGCACAGAGCCAGCAGTAAGCCCTGAGCATTACCAAGTGTGGCGCAAGAGCAATGGGAGAGCACTGGTCCTTTTAAATTCCAAAAGCACTGCCTCAGCTAGAAGGGATAGGCTTGCAACAAAGTGGGATGCACACCCATTTGTTATCAGAAGCAGTTAGTATACAGCCCTGATGTTTGGAGAAGAGTCCTTGTTGTCCAGTCAGGATCCAACACATCTCAGCCAGCTGCTGCAGGAATCAGGCATGCTGGCTGCCTGCTGCAGGGCTAAATTGATCCAAACTGCCCAAGCTTCCCTCCAAAAGATGCAGTGCTTCAATAGGTTCAGGTTCCAAAACAGTGACATCAGACTTTGCCACAATGACTGTCGTCTGGGTAGGGATATAGATTTCTTCAGAAGATGGTACTGCTTTACCCCATCTTTCCCAGATACTCCATCTTGAAGATAATGTTGACAATCCAAGAAAAGCAGTTGAGAAATGTTCACTCTTTCAGGGAGAAGACAGAAGACAAAGCTCAGGACTGCGTGTGTCTGTCTGTGTGTGAACACTCAGTCTTTGCTTGGGACTTTGACCCTATGTAGTTCAGGAAGTCATGTCTTGAACTCAGATTTAGACTCAGGTTAGAGTGCCTGTATATACCTGCAGTCACAAAAATCCTTTATGGACAAAAGTTATCTTCATTCTGTTTCAAATAAATTCTACAAGTAAATTGTTAAATATGATTGAAAGTTGCTCAAAAACTATTTTGTAACGGGTAAAATTATAAGCAAAATCCAGCAGCTATAGCAGAACATTAGGAACAGACTTAACTGCAACAGAGTATTTAGAGAAATAAAACGCAAGTCAGGAAATATCTTGAAAGAAAAGTGACATTTTTGAAACGTCTCAACTTTAGAACTATTACATAGCTGATTTAAAATTCAGATGAGGGGTCTCAATGAGCTGAGTGGATTCTTTGCGTACAGTAGGCCTGGGTACAGTCTGATCCCCAGGACCACATGGTTCCCCCAAGCAACATGGGAGCGACCCCCAAGTATAGATCAGGGAGTAACAGTACCCTGAGCATTTGCTGGGCTAGAGCGATAGCACAGTGATAGGGCATTGGCCTTGCGCACAGCCAGCCCAGCCAAGCCGGGTTCAATTCCTCCGGCCTTCTCGGAGAGCCCGGCAAACTAACGAGAGTATCTTGCCTTTACGGCAAAGCCTGGCAAGCTATCTGTGACATATTCAATATGCCAAACACAGTAACAAGAAGTCTCAAAATGGAGACGTTACTGGGCCCGCTCGAGCAAATCGATGAACAACGGGAGAACAGCCTCCAAATTTAAAAAAAAAATCAGTTGAGGGGCTGGATAGCAAGGACAAGAATTCAGTTGTATACCTTGCATGCACATGACCCTGGTTTGATACCTGGCACCACAGGGTTCCCAGAGCACTGACAGGTGAGCCCGGAAGATGCCTGAGCACCATCAGGTTTGGCACTGGAGGACTCTGAGCATCACAGCAGCTTCCTCTGGCTCTAGCAGTGAATTTTCCAGTCCTGCTACCCAAGACCAGGTGGGAGCAGCACCAGGACCTCCTGAGCAAAGTTTGGGAGGTCTTTCCCCATAAAACAATCCAGTTGACCAGGGAAGCAAAAATAACTCAATGGGAAGAAATGTGATTCACACGCTTAAGTCCCAGGTTCAACTCAGGGTCCCATGAGCCCAGCCCCCCTCATTTAAATCCAATGAATTGGGTTTGACCACAAATAAAACAGATTAATTCATAAAGTGAAAATGAGTGAAAAAAAAAAACTTTAGCACGGAGACAAAAAGTTGGGAGGGCTATGAGACAGACTGGAAACACCGAGTATGTTTAGCCTGAGAAAAAAAAAGTATTTGGAGACTCTTTAGGAATAGTTGCCAGCCAATCACACCTCCAAGTGAGAAACTGGATCTTATTAACCACAAATAGTACATGATGGAAGAGTGTTTGCTTTTAATAGCAGAAAAAGTTAGCATGTGGGAGCAAGAAGTTTTAGTATTTTCGTTCAATATAACCCTATATGCTAAAGAGCTTTTAAAAATAAAAAGTATAAATTAAGTTCCAATTAAGATAAAAGAGTTCAGTATACTGCATTTGAGGTCTCCAGTTACTGTGTGATTATAACCATGCAATAAACAGCTTAGATGTATGTTTTACTTTCAGTATCATTTGCACTTCCATTGTAAAAAAAAAAGGGCTGGAGAGATAGCACAGCGGGTAGGGCGTTTGCCTTGCACGCGGCCGACCCGGGTTTGATTCCCAGCATCCCATATGGTCCCCTGAGCACCGCCAGGAGTAACTCCTGAGTGCAGAGCCAGGAGTAACCCCTGTGTATCACCAGGTGTGACCCAAAAAGCAAAAAATAAATAAATAAATAAAAATAAAGGCAAATATTTAAAAAAAAAAAAAGGCTGGTTTTAGTAAAGCTAATTTCTGAAATTAATGCCTCTTTTCTTGCACAAATACAAATCAAGGACAAAATATCTCATTAGACATACTAAAACAGAACCTCTTACTATCCAGTGCCGCAGGGGAAAATATGTAATGTGTTAACTTTGGTTTCCTTACAAATCTACATTTCTATTTAGTATAAAGAGCTTTATAAATCAGCATTTAAAAACCTAATACTTTAACACTTAATATGTCAGCTCTTAGACACATGGTATTAGATTATAGATAATTCCAGGTTCTAGGACTCCAAGTACTCAATTTCTCTGGTATGTCCTTCCTTTGATGTTTCTTCCTTCATTGTAATACACCAGATTCCAAAGGGAACAGAAAGGTGTAATTGGCAAAAGCAACAAGTATCAGGAAAGCTCTCCCTTTTTGTGGACTCATCAACCAGGCAATGTATCCACATACAATTTTGTTTCCCCTTAAAATAATCACATATACATAATTTATAACAAATCTCGGTTTGCCTGACAATACCACTGAAAGTATTAACAAGACAAATTAAGACTAAAAGACATTTTTCTTTTGAGGTCATAACTAGCAGTGCTCAGGGCTTACTCCTGGCTCTGCATTCAGTGACACTCTGCACTCTGCTCTGGTCAGTGGCTAAGAAACTACGTGTGGTGCTAGGGAATAGGGAATGAATCCAGGTTGGCAGCTTATAAGGCAAGTGCCATAGTCACTGCACTCTCCAGCACTAGGTTAAATTTTTTTAATTCTCCTCTCTGCTACTGCTTATTAAAAGTTAAATATTTTTTGATTTTCCATATTTGAAATAAAAATTATATTAAATACTATTTCACATGGGCTGGAGCAATAGCACAGCAGTAGGGTGTTTGCCTTGCACGCAGTCAACATGGTCGACCCGAGTTCGATTCCTCTGCCCCTCTCGGAGAGTCCGGCAAACTACTGAGAGTATCTCGCCCACATGGCAGAGCCTGGCAAGCTACCCGTGATGTATTCAATATGCCAAACACAGTAACAACAATCTCCAATGGAGACGTTACTGGGCCCGCTGGAGCAAATCGATGAACAACGGGAGGACAGAGACTATTTCACATCAAAACCAACCTTTTATAGTTAACGAAAATAAACTTCGGGGTTATGTTTGGGGATTATGACCCGTACTCAGACTTAGCAAACTGTTTGCCATCCTTATTTTATCAAAAGAGGCATAAAAGTTAAACACCACTTGTATTGGAAATATTCAGGCCCTTGTGGGTCTGGCATATTGAAAATTAGAGAAAATGCAAATATTAAAAGCTTAGGACAGAACTATGGCTCAAGAGGCCAGTAACAAGACCAGCTACTAAGCACATAATTGAAGGTTCAACTCTTCAATTGGAGGCACCATGGGCTCTTAATGTTTAAATGAAGTTCATGATTTTTCTGAACTACTGTGTAGTTCAGAACTACTTTAAGTTACTGAGGTACTTCAAGTTTTGCGTTTTAGGAATTTTTCTACATGTTTTTAAACATCTCTATTCTATGGTCAGGGTCTATCAACTATTTCCCCAGACATGTTGATAACTCCATCAATTGTCCTGTATGTATGCAATAATTGTTTTCTAATTTTTTCCTTCCCATCAAAGATTTGCACAATTTCGAATTGTCCTCGGAGATTTTAATTTTGCTGGCATTCAGCAAGCCAACCATGTCTTGGGACCCATTTACTTCATCACTTTCATCTTTTTTGTGTTCTTTGTCTTGCTGGTAAGGATCAGTTTCTATTTTTGTTTCACTTCTTTAGAATAAAAAAATAAAACCTGCCAATTTAGAAAACTTACTCAGTGCTTAAACTGTCAGGACTCTATGTTTACGTAGACTTTACGATAATCAGATGTTTCCCATCACTGTATTTTAGGATGAATAGCCATTTATTGAACATGTTACTTTGAAAATATAAACTTTACAAATACAAGTACCTTTCAAACTCGCTAACATTTTGCTGGATATTTCTCCTCAGAACATGTTCTTGGCAATTATTAACGATACCTATTCTGAAGTGAAAGCTGATTTTTCAATAGGCAGAAGGCCAGATTTTGACCTTGGTAAAATGATCAAAGAGGTATGCCAATTTTTTCCCCTAATTGTTTTCTAAGACAAATCTTCCACTTACAGTCTCAATAGCTTAAGTAACATTCATAGCCCATGTGGAATGGATTTTTGGTTTGCTCTGGTTTTTTGATTCAGTGTGACTTAAATTTCTTTACCAGGGAAATGACATCTGCTCTCAGTTTTAAAATGTATTTATTTTTAGGTTTGGGGGCTATACCCGGCAATGCTCAGGGCTTACTCCTGGCTCTGCAGTCAGGAATCACTTGCCAAGAGATCATCTTGGTCAAGTCTTACCAGCTATACTCTCTCCTGTCCCATAAATCAATTACTTTTTAAATGCAAATATTACTTTCTGTTGAAAGTAACAAAGTTTACTCTAAGTTTCCATGTAGATGCTGGTTAAACTTATAACTGAGAACTTTTATGAAAAAAATCTCACTTTATACTTGGGATGAGGGGTCAAATACTCAGTGGCTTACTTTGGGAGACCATGCAGTGCCAAGGAACAAACACCAGGCCCTACTCCTGCTCTCATGCCCTTTTAATGGAAACACTCATTTCTCAATCACTCCTGACTCAAAAAAAAAAAAAAAAACAACCTTATTTATAGGAGCCATACAGCAGTACTGTGAAGCAATATGGAGCCTCACACTTGTGAGCCAATATCCAGTCCTTGGATTTTAATTTTTATCCTTTTGTCCCATATATGAGCTGCTGTCAAAGCCTGTCTATAAGCTCCATAGACTCTGCTTATTAGATCTCTGGAACTTAAGACACTTTGACTTGTGGCACTGAATTAGAGAGTCCGAGTACCTTTCATGCAGATTTCTGCATAGTGATGTTACTTGTTTTAGCTTCTGTGCCCATCCAGCTGATTAAATCACTATTCTGCTCAAAATTCTTCCTTCTCCCTGGCCCATTTGAAATACAACCAAAATCTTTATTCGAATATTCAAGGCCCTTCTCAGATCTCATAATCCCAGCCTATCTTTAATCAGTTACTTAACTGTAGAAGTTCTACTTTCTTGGCCTCCATTTATAGCTAGGGCTAGGAGTCTGAGCACATGCTGCTTGCTTTTGCCAGTCTGCTTTCACGATCTCTGGGCTTCTGCTCAAGTCACCGTAACCCCAGCATTCTGAATTGTCCTGTTCTTTAGTTCCTACCTCACTTGGAGCCATGGACATCACATGTGTACCATCTTGTCCAACTCTGCTTACCAACAATCCAGTTGAGCTTCACCCAGAAGAGGTTCCCAGCTATGGGGTTAGTAGGGTTTACTCTAGAAATTGTCAAGAAAACTAGTAAGATGTTCCCCCAATGAGCCAGGTGATGTTGATTATAAGCATTAAAGTGTTCATTCTTTTCGTATATATTTTTTCAAGTCTGAATGTAGTGGTCTTTTTCCTTTTTCCCGGAAGATACAACCTTAATTGGTGACATCAGCATCCACATTTGACAGGGACATAGCACCAAAAGACAAGCTATTTCCTTGTCAGTGTTCCCTAAAGTAGGTGACTCTGCTACCTACGGGGTGCTGGACCGTTTCAGGATTGGGGCCACTAAGGGTTTTTCCCCCTCTAGTAAGGGGTCCCAGAACTTCTACTTGATCAAAAATAAGTAAAACACAATGCATTTTATAGACTTCTAAACTATCTTAAATTATGCCCAGACTTACAACAAAACTCTTGAAAAACTCAAGTTAAAGAAACCTGAAAATAAAGAAAAAAGGTAAGATGACTTTTCTTAAATTTTTCACTTAACATTTCTAAGTTCTAAAGTTTAAGGAAATTTACAAGTATGGTTTTGACTACGAAATTATCACCATCATACTGATTCCATATATTCTCAATACATGCCCTTGTGCCTTTTAATTTCTGTGTTATAAAACCTAGGCTAATTTAAAATTAAGACCAGCCAGGCCACTCAGAGCATTAACAAAAAAAACCTAAACAGAAAAGTAAAGTTCCTTTACAAACATAGGAAGCAATTTGTCTACTTCAAGTGTATTTATTTAGCTGTCAAAAATATTTTACATATAACATATATGTACACATATACATTTGTTGACTGAATGGTTGTAATGTCAAAATACACCCCCAACCCAGACTTCTGGTAGTGAATTCTAAAATAAACATTTTTCTATAGTAAGAGATGTGATATTCTGAGAACTTACTACAGGCATTTTCCTAATAGCAACAAGAAAGAGCAGAAATGCAATTTAGATCTTTAAATCTGATGGTGTTATATAGCAACATTTCCCTTTTTTAACTGCCCTGTGCCTCTAATTTTTATTTTATGATTCTCAGTATGGAAACTGGTGATTTGGCCAAAAAAGCCAGAAGAGAAGGCTTTGATGAACAGGTAAGATTAACTTTTCTCATAAGAGTGATACCTATGAGAAATATGTTTTAAAAACACTCAGGTCAGAATGGAAATAAGGAGTCAGAGATATAGTACAGCAGGTAGGGAGCTAGTCTTGCATGCACCTGGTTTCATTCCCAGCACCCATATGGTCCCGAGCCTCACCAGGAGTGATCACTGAGCAGAGCCAGGTGTAAGCCCCGAGCACAGCTGGGTGTGGCCCTAAAACCAAAGAAGGGAAAAATGGAAATGATATGCTGGCTGGAAAGAACGTTCAACAGGCTACAGTACATGCTTTGATCTCCCAAGCATCTCCAGGAATGACCCCTGAGCATCAAACCAGGAGTAGACCTGAGCACTGCCAGGTGTGGCTTCCCTCCAAATATTTTTGAGAATGGAAATAACTTGCATTTTTTGGGTCAGCAGCTGCCACCTCCTAATACTTCTCCCAGAATCTAGATCCCTTCCTGTTAAGAACAAAACATTTGTTGGACTATGAGCTAGGAACTCTGTGGGAGATCCATACCACCGTGTAACAGACCTTGGGCTCATTCCTGATACTGTAAAATAAAAACTTGGATTCCATAAGCTCTATCTCTCTCATTAGCACTCTCAGCCAGATATGTGGTTCCTAGATGTTGATTTGAGATAGTGCTTAAATGATTTTTCATATTTCAAAAATTATACTTTAAAAGGAGACTTTTTAAAAGGAGTCTCCTGCCTCCGCACCTGGCTATTCCTTGCCAGGGCCCCTTGGAGGGGAGCGGGTTGAGCTTTCCTCCCCGCCCTGACCAGGGCCCTGGCAGCCGAAGACCTCCAGGACCAGCCACCACCATGCTGAGACCACTCTCCGCACACACAAAGGTACCGGCAGAGGGACAAAGCCATGTGGGTTCCGGGGCCGAGATCTCCAAGCCTACTCGGATTGGAGTCGAGCATCCTCCACCCAGATCCTCCAAATTCCAGTAGGCGGGGGTCACACCCACCAACTGGCCCCCTGGCGCAGTGTAATCCCATCAGCGGCCAAAACTCAGAGACTATAAAAACCAGCTCCTAGAACCGCGCGGCAGCAAATGCGGCCACGCGACATCTTATTATGACATCTCATTCCTACTTTGACAAACTGGCAGGCTACCGAATGTAGCCTGCCCACACGGCAGAGTCTGGCAAACTCCCCGTGGCATACCCAATATGCCAAATACCAGTAACAATGATGGGTCTCATTCTCCTAAAGAGCCTTGAATATAATCTCAGGGCTAGGATGAAGGAGACGTTACTGGGGCCTGCTGGAGGCAATCGACGAATAACAGGATGATCTGTGTGATCTGTGTGTGATACTTTAAAATAATGATTATAAAATAATGCCTTCTCCACTATCATCCAAGTAGAAGAAAATAAAACATTGTTAGAATCATTTGATTCTTGTAACCAGCTGTAGAAAACAAATTATTTCACAATGCCTTTTCAGCATGTCTGATTTGGGGGTGTAAACTCTAAATAATGGTGCATCTTCTGTCGAAACAATGGATCTAATCAAAGTAGATAGATTGTTAACTAGAATTCATCTGTCTCACAGGCATTGGGAGGGTTGGCCGGGGTTGGGGGGGGGGGGTATTGGGGTTCTTGGTGGTGAAAATTAAGTATTGGTGAAAGGAAATGTGTTTGATAATTGCATGACCAAGACTTAAACCTGAAAGCTTTGTAACTTTTCCCACAGTGGTTCAGTAAAAAAAAAAAATTTCCTGCTATAACTCAGCTGTCCTAACAGTTACAAGCTGAATATTCTCTAGTGAATAGAATATGTATGCATTAAAATATTACGTTAAAGATTGAAAAAAAAAGTTTTCTAACAATGAAGAAGTTTTCTCTTCATCCCCCAATACGCTGAGAATGAGGATCAGAGTACTGGAATAAGCAGGTATCATATTAGTGGGTACTGGCAGAGGGACAAATCCATGCGGGTTCCGGGGCCAAGATCTCCCAGCCTACTCGGATTGGAGTCGAGCATCCTCCACCCAGATCCTTCAAATTCCAGTAAGCGGGGGTCACACCCACCACCTAGCCCCCTGGTGCCGTGTAATCCCATCAACGGCCAAGACTCAGAGACTATAAAATCCAGCTCCCGGATGAGAACAGTGCAGTCTTCTGCCCCCGCGCCTGGCTGTTCCTCGCCGGAGCCCCCTTGGAGGGGAGCGGGTTGAGCTTTCCTCCCCACCCTGACCAGGGCTCCGGTAGCCGAAGACCTCCAGGACCAGCCACCACCATGCTGAGACCACTCTCCGCACACATGAAGGTAATGGCAGAGGGACAAATCCACGCGGGTTCAGGGGTCGAGATCTCCCAGCCTACTCGGATTGGAGTTGAGCATCCTCCACCCAGATCCTCCAAATTCCAGTAGGCGGGGGTCACACCCACCACCTGGCCCCCTGGCGCCGTGTAATCCCATCAACGGCCAAGACTCAGAGACTATAAAATCCAGCTCCAGGAACTGGCCGCGCGACATCTTATCAGGACATCTTTTTATGACATCTTATTATCTCATTCCTACTTTGGACAAACTTGCAGGCTATCGAATGTAGCCTGCCCACAGGGCAGAGTCTGGCAAACTCCCCTTGGCGTACCGAATATGCCAAATACCAGTAACAATGATGGGTCTCATTCTCCTAAAGAGCCTTGAATATAATCTCAAGGCTAGGATGAAAGAGACATTACTGGGGCCTGCTCGAGGCAATCGACGAATAACAGGATGATGAATGAATGAATATTAGTGGGAGTTTTCTCATTACTAGATAAGGGAAGCTATTAAAAAAGGAAAGGCTGTCAGTCAAAATGAACCTTTTATGGGAAAAGAACTGTAGATGCATGCTTTTGTGTGAACAGATGTACTTTCTAGCTCTGTTCACCAAGAAACCTACAAGCAACAGTAGTAATATCACAGCTTGGTTTCCAAACATTCCACTCTAAAAGGCAGTAGGTTCCTTGGGGATACAGCTAATTCCATGGACAAAAAGTGTAAGAGTCAAATATTTACTGAACCACAAAGTAGAAGTGCTCAAGAATGATGGAAATCTGCTAAAAAGGAATCAAAGTCAGCTTGAAGGGGCTGCATTTATGCACCATAATGAATAGTAATAAACCCACTAAATTAAAAAATAGGATTCAGGGGCTGGAGCGATAGCACAGCGGGTAGGGTGTTTGCCTTGCATGCGGCCGACCCGGGTTCGATTCCCAGCCATCTCATATGGTCCCCTGAGCACCGCCAGGAGTAACTCCTGAGTGCAGAGTCAGGAGTAACCCCTGTACATTGCCAGGTATGACCCAAAAAGCAAGAAAAAAAAACAAAAAAACAAAAAAAAAGGATTCAAAGAAAACAAGATTCCCTACTCTACACCTATCTAAATATAAAAAAGAACTGAAGTCTGCGGGAAAAAATGTAAAAAAAAAAGATTCCCTGATTCTACACCTATCTAAATATATAAAAAGAACTGAAGTCTAAGGAAAAAATGTAACATTTCCTCCACAAAATACATATGACAGGGCTAGGTAAAGAGCTCAACCATGGCATGTACAGGACTCTGGGTTTATCTGCAGCAATGCATGGCACCCTAGAACTGCCCTGGTGGCTCGCTGCAATGCTGGGGAAGCCTACACTAAAAAAAAAAAAAAAAAAAAAAAAAAAAAAAAGATAATATTTTAAGAAGTCTGTTACCACAACACAGTGATCAATAGAGATCAGAAGCAAACTAAAGCCAGATACCCAGAGAGAGGATGCTTAGAGAACAAATCATTCTTTCAGTGACAATGCTGACAAAGAGGCATAACATGAAGAGACCTAAACTGAGGATATTCAACAGAATCCTCCAAAATGTCTGGATAAAGTCAAGTCAAGCTGTGCAACTACACCAGGTTAAAGATTTAAATGACCAGTCCATAATGCATAATCTTGAACTAGACTGTTTTGCTATGGGCATCACTGACCAAGTGTGAATGTTAATCGGTGACCTGAGCATTTGATCCTCTCTCAATATTCACGCTCTGACTGTGACCGCTCTATGTGACTGTAAAGGAGAATGCAGGAAGCAGACACTAAAGTATACAATGAGAGACAGATGTTGGCAACTTCAAATACTTCAAGGAGGGAAGAGATTTGTATTGCAACTTTTCCATAAATTGATACTCTTTTAAAAGTCAAAAGTCAGAGCCAGAGAGATAGCTCAACTACCTGGCATATGCTTTGCAAGCAAGGAAGTCCAGCTTCAAGTTCAGGGACTACATAGTTCCCCAAAGTATCATGAGGTATGGCCCAAAACACAAGCATAAAAGAAAAACCTAATTCAAAAAACCATGCCTGAATTTTAAAATGGCGACTATGCACCTGGGGGAAATGACTTAGAACATCAGACAACCAAATAAATCTGATTTTACTTGAAAAATAAGCTAGCATTAGAACACTCAACAACGTAAAGTCAACAGAGAGCCAAGGGGAGAAAACGCCAGAGTTATTTTTATATCCAGTAAAACTGCTTCAAGAATAAAGGTTCATAGCTTTTCAATCACCCAAGAACTTGGGGGTTCTACATGTGTATATTTCTGAGGAATCCACAAGATTGGTTTCATCAACCAAGAGACAATTAGAGAAAACTTAGGAAAGGAAGTGAGAGAGGCTAATGTTATTTGCCCATTAACTACAGCTTAATACATTGTAGCCAAAACATGATAACAACCCAAGTGTCCAATGATGGACTACTGAAATGTGAAATACACAAACATATACACACTTACAATGGAATCAATCATAAAAAGGGGAATCCTGCCACCTGCAGCAGTAGGTTGAAGGCGTAACATTAAGGAAAATATGTCAGAGAAAGAGAAATGCCTTGTGATGACATGGGTGAAATCTAAATACCCACATGCACTATGGGTTTAATTTTACTATGAAAATTTATCAAAACTGATCTTAAGAGATTTTTTAAATGCCTAAACAAACTCAAGGCTGGAGAGATAAACAAAGGTTAAGAAACTTGCCTTGCACACAGTAGATCTCAGTTCCATCCATGCCACTGCAGAAGATCCTCCAGAACTGCCAGGAGTAATCCCTAAGCATAGAACCAGGAATGACACCCTCACCCCCCTGCCAAAAAATAGTCTAAAAAGATCTAATTCGTAGAGAAAGTTATCAAAACATTAACCACACAAGAATTAAAGCCCAGATAGCTTGACAAGGGAATTTTGCGGGGATGGAGAGACAGTTCAGCCAATAGGATGTTGGCTTTGCACGTGGCTGACATGGGTCCAGCAAAGCACCACCAGGAGTAATTCCTGAGCATAGAGCCACGAGAACCCTTAAGCATTGCTGAGTGTGCCTCCCCTCAAATAATAGAAATTTATAAAAATGTCTAGAAGAGGAAATAGACAATTTCCAATTTTTATGAAATTAGTGATTCTAAAATACTGCAGGGAGAAGAGGAAGAGAACAGGGAAGAGGGGGCGAGGAAAGAAAAAGGCAGGAAGGACAAATCAATGATCATATACCATTTTTAAGTAAAATCCTAAATACAATCTAGCAGAACAAAATTACAATCTAACCATGCATGATTTAGATAGGTTTATTCTGGAAATGATGGTTCAAATTTAAGTTTGAGCTAGTATCAGCTCATCAATATTCTCTAATTTAATTTAAAAATCCAAAGATAAGAGTACATGATAATTTCCCATAGATACTAAATAACTGGTAAGGTTTAATATGCTCTCTTGAGGGGAAAAACGCTGATCAGTGGATGATTCATCTCTGTTACCAGCATATTTACGTCACCCTACCAGGGAAACAAGAAGCACAACACCCAGGACCAGAGGGTCCAGCCAAAACAACTGTAAGAAATTGGGAGTGTAATTAAAAGTGAAGAGGTAAAAATTACCTCCATGTTTCTCTTGTTTTCTAGGTATACAATAAATTAAAGGATTTTCACTAGATATTTCAAAAGTAGTAGGGGTAAAAAAAATCCAACCATTAGCATATATGCTTCTAACAGCATCAAGGAAGAAAATGCCCAGGATTAATAACATCCAAAAATATCAAGATTAGAAAACATTTTAAGACATTCCTTTAAGATATATTAAAAAAAAAGTCTCGACTAAGACATACTTTCTGTATGTGTCAGTCAGGGCTTTAGGACCTAAATCAGGAAAGCCAGAATCACAGATGGCAGAGAAAATTTACTTGCTTGGATGACAAAGGATAAAGACCAGGCAACTCAAATAAATAGTAACACTCACAAGGCTGAGATTACAAAAGGTGGGATGGTTGGAAGATAGTAACCTGAGAGGCCTGGGGAGTTACTGCTCAGACGTCTGAAGACACGCCCCCACCCACCACCACTGCTGAACCTCTGTGGGGGTGTGCTATAGTCTGGTTCGAAAAGGTGACACTGTGATCCCAAGAAGTCAATGAACCTGAAATATCCACCATTTCGCAGCAGTGCTGAAAAGAGGGCAACCTTTGAGCTACAACATTAGTGAGTCAGCCCAATTCACCCTTTTTAGCCATTTCAGCTTCCATAAAATGATAATTATTTAAACATTTTACTTATTAAGTTGAAACTATTTTTATCAAAAAAGGCATTTGTATTCTTTCCTTGAAAGGAAGATGTGTCCCAACCATAATCACCTCTTCACTGCAATCACAATCCTTGAGATTATCCTATTGAATAGTATTCTGAGATGAGAAATTTTATTAAAAAGGAATCTATTTTATCTTGGTGCCCAAACTAGCAATATTGGGTCTTACTCATGGCTCTCTGCTCAGGGATCACTTCAGGCAGAACTTAGCACTGCACTTCAGGCAGTGCTTAGGAGAACATATACAGTGCGGGGGACTGAACAAAGGTTGGCCACACGCAAGACTTTACCAGATGTACTATTTCTCTGGCCCCCAAAAGTAATAATAGTAGTAACACCCAAGAAAACTCCCTAGCCCTCTATGCATCCATTTTGTAGCAACAATTAATTGTCCCTTGGTAACTAGGATCAGTCACCTCTCTGAGTTGAAGAACCACTCTGGATTGCTGCTGGAGGGAGGCCAAGCCTAGTTTACCCAGGAGTCTGACTTGTACCTGGGCAGTTTTCTCTCCTCTATGGAGCACTGTAGCACTGATCTCCTGTTGTTCATCGATTTGCTCGAATGGGCCCAGTAACGTCTCCATTGTGAAACTTGTTGTTACTGTGTTTGGCATATCGAATATGTCACGGGGAGTTTGCCAGGCTTTGCCGTGCTGGCAAGATACCCAGTAGCTTGCCGTGAGATTTTGTCTAAATTTAGTAAGCTATTTGGACACTACAGAAGTGGGTATGGGAGGACAAAGCACAGGAAGTATTCTCTCAAAAAGGGGTGAGTGCAGTAACAAAATTTTTCTGGTCTGAGGAAATCCTGGGTTATGTGGAGGGATGATGCAGTCATTATGAAAATGGGGGGGTTAAATAAAGGGTGTTGGGAGGTTCCTCTCAGGATGGGAAATGCTTTGAAAGCAGACTATAGACCGAACAAGATTGCCACTCAATGTCTCTTTTGCAAACCACAGCACTCAAAATGAGAAAGATAACAAAAGAGGTAGGGGGGGATGGGGGGAGGGAGGGTTACTGAGACTGGTGGTGGTGGAGAATGGGCACTGGTGGAGGGATGGGTATTCGATCATTGTACAACTGAAACCCAAGCACAAAAATTTGTAAGTCTACAACTGTACCTCATGGTGTTTCACTAATAAAAATTTAAGGAAAAAAAAGAAAATGGCGGGGGTTGCTAATCAGACTAAAGAGACACCCATCCACCAGTATATAAATCTCCAGTAAACAAATCTCAGATGACTGCAGTATTATGATAGCACTCTGTCCTGGTTCATGGGACTTCTGGAAATATTTTGTGGGAATGAAAAATCCCCTGGTGATAACCACAGTTCAGCTGAACTCCATGGCTTATAACATCCAACTGGTCTGAATGAAGATGCTCCAATACAGGCAACATATTCAGGTTTGAAAAATAAGTAGGACTGAAGAAGCACGCAGCCAATACCCAGTATCCCATTTGGTCGCCTGAATTCAGAGTAAACCCAAGGAGTAAACCCCTGAGCATCACTAGGTGTGGCCACAAAACAAAACAACAGAAGAAGTCACAAAGAGTAGTAGCAGAGAGTACAAAGAGCACCCAGAGATGCACTCTGGAGTACAGTTGCATCTTTAAGGGCCCAGCAGGGGAAGGGAGTAGGGGTGGGGGTAGAAAGGACCTTTAGCTTTGTTTTGGTCGATGAAGAAAGAACTTAGGAGAACACTTAACCTGAAAAGTGAATGAGATGACAGTCCTAAAACCAAAAAACCAGCCCTGATTTTGCTAAGCAGTTTTAACTGGGAAACTTATGAAGTAGCTCTGCTGATACACAGACCAAAATTTGAGACAGGGCAAAAAGGCAAGATGCACAAAGCATTTGCTCGAGCGGCCCAGTAACGTCTCCATTGGAGACTTTGTTGTTACTGTGTCTGGCATATCGAATACTCTCGGTAGCTTGCCGGGCTCTCCGAGAGGGGCGGAGGAATCGAACTCGGGTCGGCCATGTTGGTCGCTTGTAAGGCGAAACCCTACCCGCTGTGCTATCGCTCCAGCACAAAGCATAGTGTAGGAGATTCTCAAGCCTAGGATGCTTGTGTGCCAAACACCTAAAACAGAGACAAACTGAAAGGTTGTAGTCTATTCTTTTTCTTTCATTTGACAGGAGATTCAAAGGGCAGAGCGGATGAAAAAGTGGAAAGAGAAGCTTGAGAAAAAGTATTACTCTGAAGTCACTGAAGATGACTATCAACCTGTCACTCAACAAGAATTTCGAGAGTAAGCATTTGTTCTAATCAGAGAATATCATGAGTGGGTATGGGGATATGAGTTACATATATTACTTCCCCAAATCCATAACTTCACTGTTATGTCATCTTTTTCCACTTTTCACCCAACTTTAAAGTATTACACTATTTACATTTAAGATGAGAGAACAATTGCTTTAATCCTTCCATCTCTAAAGTTGATATTCAGAACAGTTATTATTCACCACGCAGATTTTGTATGAGATATACAACTGGCTAGACTAGGTTTGAAATTTTACCTTCCAGGGTCAGGGAGGAAAGCTCAAATGTTAGTGCACATGTCTGGCATGAGACAAAGTCCTGAGTTCAATCCCCAACACCTGTGTTCAATCCCCAACATTCATAGATGTAGCCTCTTAAAAGAAAAAAAAAATCTCCCCACTCAAAACTTTTCACAGTAGATGTGTTCCTATGAATTAAAGTGTTATTCTTTATTTCTTCCTAAATAATCCTCTAGACTTTTTTTATATGCTGTGGAACTGGAGAAAGAATTACACTATATCAGCTTAAAACTGAACCGAGTGATGAGAAAAATTTCAACTACGTAACAGAAAAATGGAGGTAAGGGTTTAGGATGCAATCGCTGAACATGTCTAACAATGACTTCCATTTCCTGACTTTATATAAACTTGAAAAGTACAAAACTTCCTGTCTTCAAACTCTCATTAAGGGGCCAGTCTTCAGGGTTATGGCACTTGCCCTGAATATGACTTACTCCAGTTTGATTCTGGCACAAACATGGTCCTCCCCCATGCACTTCAATAGTAACCCATAAGCACCACAGTGCAAGGCTTCAAAACTATCAAAACTAAACCAAAATCACTATTGTTGAGGTCAATAATTACCAAATGATTTCCAGGATTTAGTGCTCCTGAATGAGCCCCACTAAACAATCCATGCCTCCATAGTATACACACACCGGTACACACAAGGTATTGTATAACAAGATTTATTATTCAATTCTAGGAATGTAAAGGGGGAAAGTACAAAAATATGCTGCTTATTGTTCATGGGACAGGTATCTAATTAATAGTTGGGGTAGCAGTAGAGACAGACTCAGTGCTCCACAGAGGGTAAGGACTGTCGGTGCTCTTCTCATTATTTTACCATGTCCTGATTTCCTCTGGCCATAAATATATTAATAAATGCACAGGATTCTGGGGAAAACCATTATACAATATCAAATGAAGTAATATTCTCAACTCCATCCTTACCAATTTGAAGTTTCCTGAGAAAAAGTGAACGAAATCCCCAATCATCTACAGAAAATTTGCTATCTTCAAACTGTAAATTCAAGAGTTTCTAAAGAGATACATTTTAAGTTTTCCAAAAGTTTTCCATGACTACTTTAAAAGCAAAACATGTTCTAAAATGAGAGTAAGGTAGGAGTACCAAAGTTATGAGAAGTCCTGTTATATTTGGAAAGTGTAGGTGAGGGTGCTATGAAGGCCCTGTTTAGATGGTTCAAAGCAGCATTTTGGAAACTCTTCCATTCTTTTTTTGGTTATATAAACCCTCCTAGAAGAGCTTAACCCAAGTAGCATCTTTTGGCCACAAACTCAGTTTCTGATGCTCAACTGATGCTCAACAGTCTCTGAATTTTGAATTTTGAGTAAAGGAACAAAAACATCTACCCACCTTCCTCAGTTCAAGTTCTTCTCTCAGAGTCTGGCTGCCAAATTTCCTTAATAGAATAATTCACAGCATTAAAGAAATGCGGGCTACTGTCTTTGCATCTTCTCCTTATATTTCCCACAAGGGAATGCACAATATGGCCGCTCTTACCTAACCACCCATGTGGCTTAGCAACCTGTTATCCCCACAGCATGCTTCCGGTGGGGCAATTTAAACAAACTCTAAGAACATTAAAGCAAGGGGATACCTGAAAAAAGTCTATATTTAAAACACCTAGTGACAACAAAAACATTTACAGTGACTTAGAACATTAAAGTTCTTTTATTACAAAAGTCTATACAATCAAGTGCAAGACAATGCAATTATATGGGTGGTGATATATATCTATATATTATTTGTATATAGATATAGCATTTAATTGTACCAAAGTAAATCTATCACAAACTGCCTAATTCTACAACCTGAACTATGACACAAATACTGTCACATAGCATTAAGTGCTGCCATGCCACTTTCATCTACTCTATTTGCAGCCAAACATTAACAGTGAATAAAGAACATCATGAAGCAGCTGTTAATTCTAAAATGATACCAGACAGGCCAGACTTATAAAAATATGGTACTCATTATAGATTTAGAATTATAAAGAAGGAATATATTATTTAAAACATTTAAATAGTGCATATGGACATTTTTGCATGTGGTATATAAAATAAAACATTCATATAAAACAATATACAGTGCACATTAAATTAGATGTTTGGATATACTTTTATCTGGAGACTGAAATCAAATGTACACTGCATGCTGGATTCAGATCAAAATTACACATCTTTTGGCATTTTCAATTTCACTTTTGTAGGTGTACACATTGAGTAACTTAGCCACATTAAAAGGAAACCACATGAAAACAACTGTGTTTAGTACTATTTTTGTTTAATTCCCCAACTACACAGTTCATACTAAAGAATATTCCCTCCCCTCAAAATAGGCATTGCACACAATAGGTGAAATGTGAAGTACTAGAAATGCTACTTATTATCAAGCTACTTCATGTGCTTACTATGTTAATAGTGCCAGAAGTCTGAGGTTCATGCTTCCCTCACCTTACTAAAGGATGCTGCAGTAGTTCATTTGTATAGAACAAACTGCTAATATTAGCTAGTTAAGAAAACCATGCATGAGTCATTGCATGCAAATCATGGGCACAGTCAAAGTTGAGACACACTTATCGATCCAGAAAAGCACCAGGAAAAACATATTAACACTTACAGATTAGCCTGAAGAGAATATGCTATTAATGACTGTTACATTGTTAGCATAAGTAAAGTCACCAATCTGTGAAAATATCAGCAGAATATTAGAAGAATGTCTGTAGAAAAGCCGTGCAAAGCCAGAGGAAAAAGAATGTGTTTCAAGGCAATGAAAAGGGCATACCACTACACATATACTCAATCTCCTGCTTTAAACAGCATGTGACTTTGCAAAAGGTGGTCCCTAAAAAAGATGTTTTAGAGGATGTTTTCTGTATGGATTCTGCTGATTGAATAAGAAAAATAATGCAATCCCCTGAAGCTACAAGTAAAAATGCAGTGGTATAGCCCTTGTTAAGAAGAGATTTACTTCAGGCATAATAATTCTTTTGCCAATTCAAACCCATTTAACTGAATACACAAAATCTGAGCACCATCAAAATTCCTACATACTGACATGGCTATTTTCTCACATTATCTGGAAATGGGTTGGGGGGAAGGCGGGGGATGCAGGATCTGATCCAGACAAATCACACACCACCTGCAGATAAAACAGTAACTGAGGAAGCAAATAGTAACTGAAGTCCCAGAGGCAGCATGTGATATGATTCAGTCCTGTGTGTGATGGTATGTGTTTTCACTAGACTAATAATCAGCAAGGTCACTTTTGGTCTACCCACTGTTAGCTTCATCCAGGAGAGGTGAGACCACTGAACTGCAAACATACTACTGGTGAGAATGTGTTACTTTGGGAATTATATAGAAAGGTGTTCCACAGAGGACTTGAATTTCAGTTGATTTTGGTTTTCTAGGAAAACAAACACAATTGCATATGTGCACACTTATAGGCTTTTCTTTCAATTTCAGTCATTCTGTAAGAAAAAGGCAACTGAAGAAGTCAATGTGAAGATCTTCCTCTCAATTTTCTTCAGTAATGAACAACAAAAAATAAAGTTGGTATTAACAAAAAGCTTGTTTTTCCAAAGTTCTTGAAGTTGAAAGGATAAAGTACTAGTCTTCTGCTAACAGGATGTATCTGTAGTACAAAACAATGAAGAAACCTGCATGTTTCCTAAGGTGGAGAATACAGTCTGGTTAACATGGAACATCACACTCCCCAGAGAGGGTCTACTTACCCTCCCATCATTTCTCTAGTGGCACCATAACCAAGTACAAAATGAGACTGAGTGCCTGACAAAATGAACTCAAGTACCAGCCAAGTACACATGATGATAGCTTCAGGGAATACAACTGATTTTAGGATGTTTTCAAGGAGCATATTTTATATGGATTTTGAAGAATCTTGTTTGCTGATAAGAACTTCAAGAAGTCTAAGCTTGGCTTTAATTTTCTTGTATTCCCTGTACTCCTCAAGCACTGGACCTCGATCCTCTTTCTGAGCATTCCTAAGGAAAAAAACAGAAATTGTACTATGATGAGATACAATGTTACCAAATAAAGATCAAATAAATAGCAGCTGTTATTGAAAAATTTGAACCAATTCCCTCAAAATATAACTAAATAAATTATGATTTTTATAGATTTCTCTGGGCTGGAGCGATAGCACAGTGGGTAGGGTGTTTGCCTTGCACATGGCTGACCCGAGTTCGATTCCTCCGCCCCTCTCAGAGAGCCCGGCAAGCTACTGAGAGTATCTCGCCCACACGGCAAAGCCTGGCAAGCTACCCGTGATGTATTCGATATGCCAAACACAGTAACAAGTCTCACGATGGAGACGTTACTGGGCCCGCTTGAGAAAATCGATGAACAACGAGAGGACTGTGACCGTAACCGATAGATTTCTCTAATAATAGACTACATGATGCTATACTAATTAATAACTAGAGGTAACTAGAGGTAAACAAATAGTTTAGTAAGATGCAGTCATTTCAAATATTCACTGAACTAATTCAAAAACGATATGAAACACGCCTGTACCAAAAAATACAGCTTCCTTGCTTACAACTGAACACTCAATGAAAATTTCATTCAACGAGTAAGTATGATTACTAGCAAATACTTCTTCAATAAAATGAAAAAAGTCAATTGGTAAGGGAAAATGCATTCCTGCAACCGAGCTTTTTTTAACCATGTATACCAATCTACATAGAAGATTCTCATATTAATTTAAATAGTTTGAAACTTGCAAGATAGCTACTGGTTTGGTATGACCACACAGTTACTTGGGGAAAAAAAATTTTTTTTTGGTCTGAGAAAATGTAAGCCTTGTTTCTGGCCACCATCTAACTTTCAATTAATTTTCCTTACTTTTAATTGGGCCCCACTGAGGCAACTGTGCATCCAATTAAAGGCACTTTAACACTTTGTTACAGGAATGAAGAGTGCCACACTGATCCACAGCTTGGAAATGAGAACCCTGAAATTACCCAACAGAAAGCCTCAGCCAGCAATGTCTCGGTAGAGGAATCCAAACTAGCTGAGATATCAATCCTGTTATGGGACTTTCTCTAGAGGAAGAAATACAGCGGTTCATAAACATTACCAAAATGTGGGGGCTGAAGAGAGCACAGCGGGTAGGGTGTTTGCCTTGCACGCAGCCTACCCAGGTTCGATTCCCAGCATCCCATATGGTCCCCTGAGCACCGCCAGGAGTAACTCCTGAGTGCAGAGCCAGAAGTAACCCAAAAAGCAAAGAAAAAAAAAAACTAAGGATACAGAATTGAAGAACACTTTAAAAACAATTTTTTTTCACTCAGTGAACCAGAGAAATAGTACAGAAGTTAAGACACTTGTCTAGCATGCTCCGGTGTCAACAATGTTTGGAATCAATAACATCTCATCTTGGAACAGCATTTGCTCCTCCAGGCTACTTTCAGGTGTGGCCCCTGCTCATCTCTGGATTTGCTCACTCACACCCCCCCCCCAAAAAATATCTCCACTCAACCAAGCCTTCTGAGGATAACCTTAAAATATTTTCATCAGCTACCATTTAGCTCTTTTTCTTGCCATGAATAGCAGAGCTTCACAGTATAAAGAACTATTTTTGGAAGACATCGAGCTTCATCCCCAGGGCCTGATCCCCAGGACTATTGCGTGCATCTTAGTAATAGTTCTCAATCTATGACTCCTCATACAGAAAGTACATTTCATAACACAGTAAAAAGAGAAAAAACTTAAGTAGGTACTCAAAAAAAAAAAAAGGTTCTGGATATCAAACCCAGGGTATCATTTGTGCAAAGCACATACTCTCCCATTAAGATACATTTCCAGTCCTTTATGAAATTTCAATAGTGTAAAAGGATTAAAAAAATACATCTGTATTTTTTCAATATTAATATCCTTTTAAATTTTTTCTTGTTGTTTTTGGGCTCTGCACTCAGGAATCACTTCTGGTGAACTCAAGGGACCACATGGTTTGTTGGAAATTAAACCCAGGTCAGCTGTGTGCAAGGCAAGTACCCTACCTGCTGTGTTCTCTCTCCAACCCATAAAAAATACTCTTATTGAAATAATATTGCTTTACATTATTGCTTTACATCATAGGTACATTTAATGTCAACATCCTTATCTAACAATTTATTTCTACTACTATATTTTAACATAGGGCACTGTAAGTTTAAGCAACTTTGTGACATTCAACAAACCTTCCATTTTGTTGATAAAATGCTTCTTCAAATTCCCGTAATGTTTTACGTAACTTCTTTTTTTCAGCTCTGGCTTTCCAAAGTTGTTCCAGTAATTCAGGCCTAAAATTAACATGGGGAAAAAAACATTATTGAAAGAACATTGCTGATTATTTTTCCCCCCAGTGTCGGGGACTGAACCTCATACCTGTAGGGTATATGCCACTGAACCACATCTGATTTGTTTTTAAAAGTGGTTCTAAGCTTGGGTACAAACTAAAGTCAGTTGAGTAAGCTCTGAGAACATACTAATGGCTTGGGGGTCAGCAAGATAGGTAGTATAGATGTTAAAACACTTGGCCTTGCTGGCAGCTGGCTGCTGGTTTGATCCCTGGCATGAAATGGTACCCCCCAAGCACAGAATTAGGAGTGTGGTATGCGTAACATCTAGTTATCACAGTAGCAAAATTGACAAAGGGAAGAAAAAACAAAGGCACAACAAAGGAAAGAAATTATATCCATCATGGAGTTCAAAGATAAAAAAGCTGATAGAGAACATTCTTTTTGAGGGGTGCGACACACTTGGTAGGGCTTGAGGGACCATATCCAGCACCAAAAACCGAACCCAGAGTCAGTACCGCATAAGGCAAAAGTCTTCCCCATTGTACTATCTCCCCAATCCATATAATTCTCATATTGTTTCTCTATTTCGTTACACAGCAAATGTAGGACATTAGTCTTTATTAAACATTAGGACATTTCAAAATTTTTAAATACTAGTTTAATAAAGAAAACATAAAAAACATAATGGGGCCAGGGAGATAGCTTTGCATGCTCTTCAAGCAGGAGCCCTGGGTTCAAGCCCTGGCACTGTCTGGTCTCCCGATCTACTGAGCAGCCCGAGCAGCACTGCATGTGGTCGAAAAACAAAACAAAAAAACAAAAATATGAATGGGCTGGAGAGTTAGTACAGTTGGTAGAATGCTTGTCTTGTGTGTGGCTGCTCCAGGTTTGATCCCTGGCACCCCATAGTTTTCTGAGCCACACCAGGAATGATCCTGACCCTGAGAATCACCACGTGTGGTCCAAAATTTTTAAAAAATAAAGTAGGGGGAAAAGACATGAAAAATATTTGTAAATTACATTTTAAAAAAGGGATGTACTTTTTATATTCAACACTGTGTTTATTCTCTTCAAGTACTAGGTAATTTAACACTGAGTTTCCTTTTCATTGTGGAGGCCACACCCTGTGGTAACTGAAATCATGTGGTACCTGGGAAAGAATCCAGAGCCCGTTCTACCACTTGAGTTGTATTTCTGGCCCCCCCAGGAGCCTCTTAGTATATTCATGGATGGAGTGGGGGACCCCAAGTTCACACCTGGCACTGCTTAGGGGGGTTTTCCAGCAGTACCTGGAGGACAGTACACTGCCAGGATTCAAATCCACATTCCCACATGCGAGGTACATGCTTCAGCCCTTTGAGCTTTCTTCCCAGCTCACATACACATTTCACTGTAAAAATACAAGCTAACACACATACATAGAAGCAGCTCGAGTACTTGACAATCGGAGATCCAGAGCCAGTTTTTCTTGATTTTCCTCAACATCAGATTCTGAGTTTTCAAATGAAGACTGTGCCTGGACAGCAGTTTTTAAGATATCAGTTAACTCAGAGGCCAAACTAACACCATCTTCTTCTTCTTCCTAAAACAGAAAAGTATCCAACAATATAGGTCATGGCTTGCCACTTTTCATTGAAAAATAGATGAAACCGTAATTCCTCCTAAAAATTACCTTGATTTCTTCAAAAAAATGTGCAGTTTCTCCTTCTATGATTGGCTGCAACATCTGACCCCTTCGTTTGGTAGATGGAGAACCCTGTAACATACAAGTAGTTTGGTTTATAAGTAAAGTTCACTTAAAAAGTGAATTGTGAGATGACTTTTTATCCTTAATTTCACAATGGATGAGATTAGATTTTATTTTTAAAACCCTAACAGTGCTTTTTAATTTTTAAAATAATTTCCCAAGAAATGTTTTTACTGCTCTTTTGTTATGTGTATGCAAGTGATAAATGATAATCTATATCCTTATAGAACTCTCTCAAAGAATTCAGTAATTATTTTAAAAATTCCAAGTGAAATCATTAACAGATTTGTTCCTTTTGTGGTTTTAGGGATTGAACCAGGTCCTCACACCCACAGGGGAAGTGCTTAATTGTAGAGGAATAGCTCAAAACAGTTTTTGAAAAATTATTTTTTTACTTCTGAGCTGCATACAACAGTGCTTGGGGCTTACACTCAGCCCTGTGCTCAGGGATCAATCCTGGGACCACATGTGGTATCAGGGATGGACCCTGGGTCAGACACATACCAGTCCTACCTCCTATACTATCTCTCTGGCCCAACACTTCTCCTTTAACTGCAGCCACCAGCTTTCACTGATCTAATACTTTCATTCTTTATACTTTTAAAAAAGTATTATTAACTTCACGGAGACAGAATTCACATATACATGTTCACATTATCATTAAAACTCATCTGTGAAAGTTTTCGATTCAGTACTTGTAATTAATTAATTTCAATTTAGTAGTACTATCCAATTTCAGGACATTTAATTACTAAAAAAATCCTGTACCTGTTTGGAACCCTGCCCTTGGCAAACATAAAACTAAGTTTGGGTCTCTAGGGCCTGGCCTTTTCTAGATTATTCATATAGAATCACAAAAAAGACAGCCTTTTGTGTTTGAATTTTTTCAATGAGTACAAAGTTTTTCATGTAAGTTGTAAAATATGTTTCAGTATTTTAATTATCAAATAATATTCCATTACATGGCTATACCTCAATTTACTTATTCTTCACATAGACATTTGGGATGTTTCTGTATTTTAGCTATGATAAATAGACTATGGACATTAAAGGTTTTTGAGTGGATATAAATTCCATTGTGTTGGGCATATATTTAAAAGGAGAATGCCAGGTCCTATGATTAACCTTTTGAGAGAACTGCCAAGCATTTTTAATGGCTCCATGACTTTACTCCCAACTGCCCAGGCAGCGCTGAAGGGATCTGCTTTCTCCATCCCGCACCAACAACTTTCTTTTGATTACATACTATCAGTATACTAAGTGGTATCTGAATGTGCTACTGGGAGGGACTTTTTTTGGGGAGGGGGGAGGGGGGAGGGGGGAAGCTGTGGGGAGAGGGCAGGTGTGTGCTCCTTTCTTCTTAGTAAGGGGAGCCCCTGTTAGGGTGGAGGTTTCTCAGGCCACTCCCAGCAAAATTTGGCCCAGCTGTGTGAACCCTATGATGCTTAGGTCCAGTGAGGAGGCGCTACTTGGGCAAAAAGTGTGCCGGGAGCCAGCAGGGCCTGCCTGATCATGGCAAAGTGAGGGTATTGTAGAGCCAGGACCAGTCAAGGCCTCTGTGCCCTTGGGTTATATCCCCAAACCTGAGCATGATTTCTGTTTACATTTCCTAATTAACAACGCTGAACAACCTTTTATATGGTTAATAAACATAATTGTATCTTTTCCAGAGAACTGTTTATTGTAATCCTTTGCCCATATATTAAGCTGAATCAGTCAAATTTTTATTGCTGAATTTTACGAGTCCTTTATATATTCTGCACACAAGTTCCTTATCAGACATATGATTTGCTAACATTTTCTGCCACTCTGGAAAAAAATCTCTCTCTTCAATTTTTCAAGTGTCCTTTGGTGCACCAAAAGTTGCCTTTAAAAACAAAAAGTGAAGTCCATTTTAATTTTTTCTGTTGTCACTGTGTTTTTGGTGTTGTATTTAGGAAAATATCGCCCTAATCCATGATCACATAGGTTTATTCTTTTATTTCCTAAATATATCATTATATGTACATATAGTTACATGTATATAGTCTTAAGCAGTTTCAGCTTTTACATTTTAAGTCTAGGATCCATCTTGAATTACTTTTTGTACATGGTGTGAGGCAATCACACAATTTATTTTTTTGCATGAGAGCAGCTAGGCTGTGTTAACACTATTTGTTGAAAACCTATTCTTTCTACAAGCTGGAGAGATGGCACTGCAGGCCAGGTTTTGCCTTGCACACAGATGACCCAAGTTAGATCCCCAGTATCCCAGGAGTGATCCCTAAGTGCAGAGCCAGGAACAAGCCCGGAGAAGCAGGGCATGGCAAAAAAAAAAAAGGGGGGGGGGGGCAAGAAATTTTTCTTTACAGTAGAATTTTTACCATAAACCTTTAGATTTAACAAGTCTCACAATGAAAACGTTATGCTGCTCGCTCAAGCAAATCGATGAACAATGGGAGGACAGTGCTACAGTGCTAAACCTTTAGACTATAATTTTCTTTTTTATGAAAAATAAGAAGTACTATTTAGAAATAGTACTCGAGCATTTAGAAATACTTGTTTCAAACCTGTGAAATTAGGGCCAACGAGAGTGCACAGGAGACCGGGAACATGCTTTGATTATAGGAGCCTGGTTTGAACTCCAATACCACATGATCCCCTGATCATCACCAGAAGTGGTCCTGAGAACAGGGCGGGGAATAGCCCTATAAAAAAAAAAATCCAGTGTGGCCCCCAAACTAAATACACGAAAAAGTAAAATCTGTGGAAATCTAAAATGTTTTTATAAAGAAAATCCAAAGACTTTACTCTTAGAAAATTATGAAAATGTTAGTAACACACAATGCACTTTATAGTCAAAGGATAAAATCTGTACATCATAAACTAAGTAGAATACATAGCCTAGCTAATTATATATAAAAATACATTTAAAAAAGCTAATTATATATAAATTTAAAAATACTGAGATGGTCAATTTAAAAAAGACCCTAACAGGGCCTAGGAGGATAGCTAGCTCAACAAACTGGACGACATGTTTTGCACGCAAGGAAGCCTGGGTATCACATGGCTACCTAACCACTGCCATGAGTGACCCCTCAGCACTGCCAGAATAAAAAGCAGAAACAAATTTAAAAATACCAGCTTTTATGAGGAATAAATGAAAACTGCTCAGTAAAAAGGTCAAATAATAGGAATCTTCAAATACTGATTAGGAGCAGGCAGTGCAAGTACTAAGGAACTCACACGAAGTACCTATTCAAGACAAAAAGCCTGTAAAAATTTAGCTCAGGTGAATTTCTATTTGAGCTGAGAGAAATCTAGAGTCGTATGTCTAATAGCATTAATTTTATTTTGTTTGTTTTGGGTTTTATAGCCATTTCCAGATTTGCTCAGAGCTTATGTCTAGTTCTGTATTCAGGGATAACTCCTGAACCACGGTACCATATGTGTTACTCAGGAACTCCAAGGACCATATGTGGTCCCAGGGATAGAATTCACGCTGGACATATGAGTGTCAAGTGCTGCACCTGCTGTATGCTCTCTCCAGCCTGGTTCTGTTTTGTTTTGCTTCACGAGGGGCACACCCAGCTGTGATTAGGTCTTACTCCTGTTTTGTGCTCAGACATCACTCCTGGTGGTTAGGGGAACTGTGTGATACTGGGGATCAAACCAGGGTAAGCCACATGCGAGCCAAGTGCCTTCAGCTCTGTACTATTCTCTGACCCCTAATGGCCTAACACTAATTTGAAGAATGAAACTAATTTGTATCTAAATATTAGTTTTCATTTTTCTTTTAAAATGCACATAAATATAGAAGTATGAAGTTGACATAAGGAGGGAGAGGAGAAAAGTACACTATAATGTATTAAGCATTATGTCATTAAAGCACACACTCTTTTTATTAAAAAATCTGAACTTGAAAAAATATACATATTTATTATGCAACTGAGTGGACACTATGGTGACATCCATTACAAAACACCCTTATTTTAGTGTTTTGGGTCACACCTGGAGGTGCTCAGAGCTTTTGCACTTGAGGACCCTCCTGGAAGGGCTCAGGGTACATGTGCCATTCCCAAAATTGAACCCAGGTCAATCTCGTATAAGAGCCTTACCCTCTGAAGTTATCTCTTCAGCCCCTTTAACAGGTGTCTTTTCAATGAAATAAATTAAACAGAAAAAACTTAGCCAAGGTTTCAAAACAGGGGAGGTGTTTTAATTTTATGAAATAGCTAATCCTGGGTATTTTCACTTTTAAGTCTCAGTATCAATGCCTATGAAACAATGCTATATCAGATTCTACCTGTTAGGACTTAGGACAAAAATCACACATCAAATGCTTCTGAAAGGGGCTGGAGCGATAGTAAAGCGGGTATGGCTTTTGACTTGCAAGCGGCCAACCTGGGTTCGATCTCGGGCAACCCATAAGGTCCCCTGAGCACCTCCAGGAGTAATTCCTGAGTGCAGAGCCAGGAGTAACCCCTGAGCATCGCCAGGTATGACCCTAAAAGACCAAAAAAAAAAAAAAAAAAAAAAAAAAAAAAGCTTCTAGAAGTGCTCGGTAAATAGCAGTCACATTGATAGTCTCCTACTCTTTTCACATCAGTAATCTTATTTTTTCATACATACAATTCTAGCCAACTGGGCTGTACTTCTCCAATATACCACAATCACCAGGTTTTTTTTAAAGAGCAAGTCTCAGTAAAACTTACAAGAACAGGGGTGATGCTAGCTCTTGTCAGCATCTGTTTTACAAGTCTGTATCTATCATAAAGAGGTTTAACAATATGCCTTTCTTCCCTGGTCACCTGAAGAAAAAAAAATAATAACTAGTCATCAGAAATCTAGAGTCTCATGCTCTACCGACTGAGCTAGCTGGGAAAATGTCTAAAACTTTAATAATGACTTTCTCCTCACCACCACCACCCCCCCGCCAATTTTTAAAAAGCTATTTAAAATAAGTAGTCAATTTCCTAAATTAAAAAAAAGCTATTTTTAAAAAATAAAAATAGGTGACAGAAATGATTTGTGGTCTTAAGAAAAAAATTTTTAATCTTTTTAGCAATAGACACATTACCGGCCTTCCATGTTGACTTTCATAGAAAAGAAGACTTTTCTGGAGAGAAGTTTTCTCTTCTACCAAATGATCTTTAGTCATTTTCTAAAAGTAAAAAGAAACAAAACTCCATTGGCACCATCATTATTCTCATTCCACAATATACGGAAGTAGGCTCTCTCTGGGCTGGGGAGGTAGTTCAAAGGCTGGATGCACACAGTATGTAGGAGTCCCAGGTTCAATCCCTAGCACCAGATGGTCCTGAGTTCTACACAAGGAGCAGTTGCTGAACAGCACCTGGTGGTCAATGCAAGTGTGGTCTCCCCCCAAAAAAGAATGTGCTGTTTGTTTATGGTTTTGTAGGCGACATTTTCCAAGTGTGTACACATTCTAATACATAATAAACAGATGCCAATATACTCGGCCTGATGGGATAACTGCAACTGAGTGAATTTGGGTAAGGTACGTAAATTTACCCCTTTTTTGTTCAACATCCTAATTGGGTATTCATTTAATTAAGATCTGATGAAGACTGAACAAGGTAATAGGTAAGATAAGCATTTACAATAGTATTAAATTTGCATATTTTATAATTTTAGTCTTCTATAACTAGAGAAACCACACACACACACACACACACACACACACACACACACACATACACACACACCAACCACAGACGCATACAGTTTTGGTGAGTGTTTTTTTTCAGGTCTCACCCAGTAGTGCTCAGGGCTTAGTCCTGACTCTGCATCAGGGATCACTCCTGTAGGTACTCAGGGGACCATATAGAGTGCCAGGAATCAAACCCAGGTTGGCCACATGCAAGGCAAGCACCTACCTCTATTTCTCTGGTCTCATCTTTGAAGTTTCATTTTTTTTCTTTTTGGGTCACACCCAGTGACGCTCAGGGGTTACTCCTAGCTCTGCACTCAGAAATTACTCCTGCTGATACTCGGGGAACCATATGGGATGCTGAGGATCGAACCTGGGTCGGCCACGCATAAAGCAAAAGTCCTACCTGCTATACCATCGCTCCAGTCCCCAGCTTACATCTTTGATCCAGTATTTCTGCTAAACTGTCAATATACACTGGCACAGAACAATGGAAAGATCCTAAAAAAACTCAATAATGTCAATATTGTCAATGTCAACCTTAGCCTTAGCCTATAACCTGTTTCCCTTCATCTGGGACTTTCTTTACACTATAATACTCTTCTCTAATCTTTTAGAACTCAGAATAGTACAGCAGGCAGGATATCCCAAATTCCTTTGTCCTCGGATCTTCTCCACTTGTTCCATAGGACATTTCCCACCTGCCTAGTACTAGGAATCAACCCAGGACATCATTCATGCAAGGCAACTTCTCTACCACCAAGCTACATGCTAGTACTAGGAACACCTTTTAACATTTCAATATTAAATACTGCATTGAGTATACTTTATTTCCAATTATTATAGTAATTGCATCTTACCAGAATGAAATGAAATAAAAATTCACTGGATAATTATTTTCCTATACAAGTATTTAGGGGAAAGGGAGAGGAGGGCTTAGTATTTGGTGGCTACTCCTAGATCTATTCTTAGGGTACCATGCAGAGCCAGGGCTTGAAACAGTATAGACCATGGACAAGGTGAATACCTTAACCTATTTTATCTATCCAATGCAACCAATAAAATTTTAGATTATGTATGTTCAGTGGAGACAGGGGCAGACTTTGTAAAATACTGTAATTATATCTTTGCATAGAGAAGGGCAGGTTCCATCCCTGGCACATGGTTCCTTGAGCACCAATAGGAGCAATCACTGAACACCAAGCCAGAAACAGCTGAGCTCTGTTGTGGCTCAAATTTTTTTTAAGTTTTTTTCAAAAAATATCATAATTTCAACCTCAAGCTTAAACCTTAAACATAGGATAACAGATATAAACACAAATGACCCAAGCCAAAGAATTTGTTGGAAATAGAGAAGAGAATTCAGTCTAAAATGAAACTGGAAACAAGTAGAGGAAAGGGAACTAAATAGAATTTCTAAAGCAACTCTGTTGAAAGAAAAAGATCTAGCATTTAGAACATGAGAGAAGCACACTGCTGTCAAAAAAGTTCACTCAGACACACCAATGCCTCAACTCAAAGTTCACTAAAAATTCAATACTCACAAGAATTATTCTGGTTAACTAAGACTGCCCAGGGGCTGGATAGACAGTACACTGAATAAGATGTCTGCCTTGCACACTGATGACCTGACATGGCCTTATCCCCAGGCCCCTAGTTAGTCCTCTGAGCATCCCCAGGTGTGGCCCAAAAACAAAATCATGACACATGTCTGGGCCAGAGACTTAGTACAGCAGGCAGGGCTTTTTGCCTTGCACATGACCAACCTGGGCTCATCCCTGACACCCCATATGATTCCCCTGAGCCCTGCCAGGATTCCTAAAGCCCTGAGCATCAGTGGCGGGGGTTGGGGGATTAGGGGGATGACACACAATGACAGACAACCATGACACTCCTCTAAGCATGGCCTTTACTGAGCAACGATTATTAAAAGATAAAAATTATGTTTATAATAAACATCTCCTTAGTATTTTACTGACACACACATTCATGCCCACGCAAGTCACAAGAGAAGGGACCCAGCAGAATCATAAAATATGACCTGTCAGGTCGAGCACATATTAAGAACTCAAAAAATATTACAAGAGCAGGATGAGGAGGTTAGTCCAAACGGCCAGAGTGCATGGCTTACATGAATGAGGCCCTGAGTAATCTCCAGTATATCATAACCTCACTGACTTTCAGCACCGCCAGATGTGTTCTTAGTGGCCTACGCTTTCCTCTCCCTGGCCCTGCACTGCCAAGTGTGGTCCCAGTTTCCATGTGCATGGACAGATGAGTATGGTCCCCACAATGATTACACACAAAGATAGTCAGAATTCAAACTAAGGTATGTTTCATGCTCTTTACATACTTACCTTACCAGCCACCTCCAATATAAATTATTAGCATTCTAGATTTTTTGTTTTATTATAGTGACGCAGTCCCTGAGTGATCTGAGCACTTCTGGTGGCTAAGAAAATGTTTCTGTATCTACAAACTTGTGGAGTATACTTAGCCAATCAGACTACCTAGGTATCTCTAAGCAAGTGTCAAGACTTGTTTTGTTCAAAAAATTGTAAAAGCAAGTCTGAGAGTAAAAAGATAGCTAAAAGATTACCTTGATATCTTCTGGAAGACACCTCTCCACACGTTTTTCTTTCAGTCTTTTCAGAATAAGTTCAAGAGTTGCTTCTTTAGACGGCTTCTTCTCCTTCTGAATGATCCTGGATTCATCTTCGTTTTCTTCATCTTCATGGTCTAGGGAAGAGCCAAAGCTTTTTGGAAGAGTGTTGCTACGTGGACGTGTCTGAGGTACAAATTCGCCATCAGAGCTTTTGTGTTTTGCATCTACATTCCAGAACCAAGAGGTTAGAGCAATAATATTTTAGCTAAAATGAAATAAATTAAAGTGAAATAGCAGATAGGAAAAATAATACATTAACGGAATACTAGCTCTGGTATTTCAACAGTATATGAAATGTTTAAACTATGGTATGAGTTATAGTATGATATGTTATAGCTATATATTAAAGTTAACATACGCCATTATATAGTATGTTATAAGAAAGCTAAGGTGATGAGAATAATAATTCACTCTTTGTGTGTGTGTGTGTGTGTGTGTGTGTGTGTGTGTGTGTGTGTGTGCGCGCGCAAGAGGACTATGCCAAGTAGTTCTCAGGGCTTATTTTCGGCTCTGTGCTCAGGGAACATTCCCTGTAATGCTTGGGGGACAATATGTGGTGCCAAGGATTGAGCTCAGGTTGGTAGTGTGCAAGACAAGTGCCTTACCTGCTATGCTATCTCTATGGCACATAAGTCCCTCTTTTATCCAATAAACAGAAAGATGCTTTGATGAGTATAAGATATAATAGTAAACACAATCAGCATGATCCTAATTTCTAATGTACCAAAAGGCAAGGAAAAACAAAAACCAAGTAACCCAATTCATTAATGTCTCAAAATACCAAGCACTGTAAAAAGAGAAAATATGGGGGCCAAAGTGATAGGACAGTGGGGATAGGGTGTTTGCCTTGCACAGGACCAACTCAGTTTTTATCCCTAGCACCACAGTTGCACCAGGAGTGATCACTTAGTGCAAAGTCAGGAGTAATTCCTGAGCACCGCCAGGTGTGGGTTTAAAAGAGAGAGAGAGAGAGAGAGAGAGAGAAGATTAAATATGGGCTCCTTGTACATGGGAGACATGGGTTTGTACTGTATGATTCCCTGGAACTGCTAAACTGCTGCCCCCTGCCTCCATCAGAGTTAGGAGTAGCCCTGATCACTGTCAGGGGTCACCCAATCATTCTCGTCTTGCCTTCCCTGCCAAAAAAAAAGAAACTGTTAAGACTGCTAAAAAGGTGTGTACTTTATGAAGACAACTGCTCTAGGTGGGAATGACAAATAAGAGGTTTCTAAACTGGTGGACATTATAGTCAAACATGTTATGGATGCTATCCTAAAACACACAATTTGAGTGAAAGTTTTTAATCCAATTGAGGAATAATCTATGCTAAGGACTAAAGACTGACATGTTAAAAGATAAAGAATGAAAGAAGGGATAAAATGAGTAGTGGTGCAAGGTCTTTAAAGACATGGCAAGGAGTCTGAACTTTATTCCAGGTGAAAGGAGAGCCCACTGAACAGTTCAGAGTAAGATAAAAGTTATTCCATTTTTATAATTCCGGGGCAAAAGAGTTTGTTACAGGACTAAGCACATATATGCTTTGGAAGCAGGAGGCCTGAATTCAATTCATAGCACTGCATAGTAATCCAACCACCAGGGAGCAGCCCCTAAGCACGGAACCAGTAGTAGCTCCCAAGCATTGCTTGGTGTGGCTAAAAAGTAAATGTAGGAGAACAGTAATTCTGATTGTTGTGTAGAGAATGGAATGTAAGACAATAAAAATTTTAAAAAACTGGAAAATTAACTAGGAAAACAGTGCTAATTTAACAGCATCCATTAGTAATGCATACATTCAAAGTAATGATAGTTATTGATGGTTAGAAACAGGCATTAATAGTAAAAATGCATAAACCGTAAGAGAGAATTCTAAAAAAGAGAAACTTTTTTAACCAGATGGTACCCTGAACCCTCCAGGAGTAACATCTGAGCACACAGCCAGGAGTAAGCCCTGAGCACTGCTGGGTATGGCCCCCAAACAAACAAATTTTTTCACTGCTATAGCTTTATTTTTTTTTTAATATAGCTCCAGCCCCTGAACCCTGGAGCTTTTATTTTTTTATTTGTTTTTGCTTTTTGGGTCACACCCAGCGATGCTCAGGGGTTATTCCTGGCTTTGCACTCAGGAGTCACTCCTGGCGGTGCTCGGGGGACCATATGGGATGCTGGGAATTGAACCTGGGTCGGCCGTGTGCAAGGCAAACGCCCTCCCCGCTGCGCTATTGCTCCAGCCCCATCACTGCTATAGCTTTAGACAATCTACAAGTATTTAGTATGTAAAAGTAAGTTTTAAGTGTTTTTTTTTTTGGTTTTTGAGCAGTATTTGGCAGTGCTCAGCAATCAGTCCTGGCAAGACTGGGGGACCATTTGGGGCATTGGGGATAGAACCTAGGTCAGTTGTGTGCAAGGCAAGCACCCTACCTGCTGTTCTTTTTCTTTCTTCTCCCTCTCCTCTCCCTCTTCCCTCTTCTCCCTCCCCTCCCCCCCCCTCTCTCTCTCTCTCTCTCTCCCTCTCTCTCTCCCCCCACATACTAAGGCTTTTGAATAATTCAAAAGAATAAATGGTTATGCACCAAGTTATAAACTCGTACTTGATATCTAATGTTTAAGTTTGTTACCCCCACCCCTAATTTTTAGGTATTAACAATTACTTAAAAGCATTGTTATTAAACACCAATACTGTAAACATATCTTAGCAATTGCTGTACTGAACTAATACGCAGAAATCACTAACTAGTTTTGATCCGAGGAGTTGAAGTTTAGTTTTGGGGGCCGGATTGATAGTACAGTGGGTAGGGTGTTTGCCTTGCACGCAGCCGAGCTGGGTTCAATCCCCAGCATCCCATAGATCCCCCAAGCAACACCAGGAGGAATTCCTGAGTGCAGAGCCAGAGTTAACCCCTGAGTATCACTGAGTATGACCCAAAAAGAAAAAAAAAAATAGATTTTGTAGTATAAACAGCTTCTTATGATTAATCAGTTTTAGATGAAATACCAAGATTAAGTTCCAAAAGTCAAAATTGCTTGCTTGAATTACTTCAAACAGACTTTAAAATATACCATCACCTGGGGCGACTAAAACCTCATGGGAAGGGGGATGTTCCCGGCTCATCCTTCACGCCCTACCGAGGTCACCAGTTGCCCCCCACGAGCGGCTCTCCGGCACGGCCATGGCCCCAGAAGCACAAGGACTTAATGCAGAGCCCAGCAGCTTGCAGCAGAAAAGTGATCGGACTATGCGTTAATCCATGCCACCATGTCTGCCCAGAGGGGAAAAGGTGTTGGTCCCTTCCGCCTTCTTCCCTCTGGAAAGAAAGATAGCAGCCCCTTGGGAGCCTTGTGGAAAGTCAGGTATGAGCCGGTGGTGATGGGGGTGGTGATGGGGCGACTAAAACCTCATGGGAAGGGGGGCGTTCCTGGCTCGTCCTTCACAGGCTACCGAGGTCACCAGTTGCCCCCCACGAGCGGCTCTCCGGCACGGCCTTGGCTCCAGAGCACAGAAACCAATCTCTTAATTATCTGACTCTCAGTAGAAATACTTCAGGGTTAATAAGTAAAATAGCAGAAATCCAAAACTGCGCGGCCGCTATTCTTGAACCCAGCTGTAGAAAGCAAATCATTTCACAATGCTTTTTCAGCATGTCTGATTTGGGGGTGTAAACTCTAAATAATAATGGTGCATCTTTTATCGAAACAATGAATCTAGCCAAAGTAGATAGAGTGTTAACTAGAATTCATCTGCCTCACAGGCATTAGGAGGGGTGAGAGGGTGGGGGTTTATTGGGGTTCTTCGTAGTGAAAAATAAGTATTGGTAAGGGGAAATGTGTTTGATATTTGCATGACCGAGACCTAAACCTGAAAACTTTGTAACTTTTTCCCACAGTGATTCAATAAATAAATAAATTTAAATATATATATAAATACCATCACCTTTATATAAATTTATATGAATCAAGGTGTACTTCAAAATTACATGACTAATATAAAATTTTAAAAATACAACACCAGGGGCTGGAGAGATAGCACAGCAGGCAGGGCGTTTGCCTTGCACGCGGCTGACCCGGGTTCGATTCCCAGCATCCCATATGGTCCCCTGAGCACCTCCAGGAGTAACTCCTGAGTGCAGAGCCAGGAGTAACCCCTGTGCATCACCAGGTGTGACCCCCCCAAAAAAAAGCAAAAAAAAAAATACATCACCAAATTCGCACATTTTATACCTTTAATTTGCTTCCGGAGTTTAGTAAGCTCTGTCATCCATTTTAATACCTTTGGATTAGCTGCAATGTCACTGTAGGAGGGCTGAAAAATTAAACAGAATCACCAACACCATTGTGGTCAGCAACGTGCAATGCCCACACTATTCTACAGTACAGAGATTTCACCCAATTCTTACTTTAATCTTACCTCAACTATGTATGGCAGGATTTTTAAGTATGTAAAACAGAAGTTCTTCATGTCAGAATTTAGCCACTGGTAGAAGCCAGATTTGAATAAGGATCATCATATTCAGTATAGTACTCTTTCTACATCATAGGTTCTAATTACTGACCTTCTTTCCTCTTTAGTATTTATACTTTTTCTTTGTTTTGTTGAGGTGGAGGGAGGATATTACTGGCTCCATGATTAGGAGTGACCCCTGGCAGTATTCAGGGGGCCAGATGAAGTACTAGTGTCATCATCCACCACAGGAGCGTTCAAGACAAGTGCACTTCTCTCCCATACAAGCTCTCCGGTCCAATAATTATGGATTTTGAGGGAGCAGAAATGGTATTCAAATAAATTGAAAACTTAAAAGTACTTGCTTTTGCAATTCTAAAGCTGTTCTTTAACAAATGGAAATACAAAGTTGCAACTGTGCATATCTCAGATTATTTTTGAGGAAACAATAAACTAATGTTCTCTCAAGACAGCGCCTGGCTGTCCTTGCCGGGGCCCCTTGGAGGGGGGGCGGGTCGAGTCTCCCTCCCCGCCCCGACGAGAGCTCCGGCAGCCGAAGGCCTCCAGAACCAGCCACCACCATGCTGAGACCACTCTCCACACGCATGAAGGTTCCAGCAGAGGAACAAAGTCATGCAGGTCCTGGGGCCGAGACATCCAAGCCTGCTCGGATCGGGGCTGAGCATCCTCCACCCAGATCCTCCACCTTCCAGTAGGCAGGGGTCACACCCACCAACTGGCCCCCTGGCACCGTGTAATCCCATCAATGGCCAAGATCCATAGACTATAAAACCCAGCTCCCGGGCCGTGACATCTTTTTTTCTCATTCTTACTTTGGACAAACCAGCAGGCTACCGAATGTAACCTGCTCACATGGCAGAGTCTGGCAAACTCCCCGTGGCGTACCCACTATGCCAAATACCAGTAACAATGATGGGTCTCATTCTCCTAACCCTGAAAGAGTCTTGAATATGGCACTTTTTAAAAATCTCAGGGCTAGAACGAAGGAGACATTACTGGGGCCTGCTCGAAGCAATCGACAAACAACAGGATGGTCATGATCGTGATCTCTCAAGAAGCTCTCTGTTTTAATACATATACTGGACTATCCTACAAACTTACCTTGCTTTTCCTTTCCCTTTCAAACTGTTCCTCAAATTGTCTGATTTTTTTCTGAAGTTTCTTAACCAATTGATATGGTGTTCTATCTTCTCTTTTTTCATCTTTTGAACTAAAGGATGATCTTCGAATTCTGAATTCAAAAAACGGTGAAGACCGTACATTAGTATCATGTTCTCTTCACTCAACTCTTATTGCTCTGATACAGAACAATTACCAAGAAGTGTATTTTTTAATGTGATGAATAGGGATTTGGTTCAAGTGGTGACCACGTCTAGTGCCCTAGGTTTTATTTTCTGGTAAACGGTACCTAGGGCACTGCCTGTGTGATCCCAGTAGTGTCCAAGCACTGCTGAGTTGCGGCCATGGGACACCACACCACCCCAGGGCACAACTAGTGAAATAAAAAAATAAAGTGAAGATAAGGCCTTAACATTAAAGGGCAAATGGTAAAAGGAAGTGTTACATGCTGTAATGTAATCTAATATAGGTAATGATGAAAAGAATTTGAAATCGTTTGAAAGTTGGGCAGAGAGAGAAAAGTAATAGTAGCTGAGAGCAAATCCTTCACTTGTTAAAGTGAAAGAAAATGTTTTTGATATTCAGAATCAATTTACAGTTTTTACAATAAAAACATTAAAGACTGGTAAGCACCACTTATTAAATTCCCTTCTACAATTCTATGTTTTAAATCGTTAATAAATAAATACACTATCAGGAAATGTCTAAGAACAAATCTCAAATACTACACTACCCTGAAGAACTCAGAATTAAGGGCCATAGTAATTACAGATCACAAAATATGTTCATGGAAGAGGGGCAGAGCTTTGGACTTCCGATACGGAAGACTAATTCTCCCACAAACCCTAAGTATTTTTCAGTAATCACTTAAGTACATAAAATCATATACCGAGCAAAAGAAAGTGCTTTAGATGAGGACTCCATTGTTTCTGGGTCATGGAGGAAACGCTGGCTTTGCCCAAAATCTAAACTACGATGTGATAATACTGGAGGATAGTCTTCTTCCAGGGGGTGATGGTTCATTCTTCCAGCCTGTGGAGACAGCTGAGCTTCTCCAGACTCTGAATCTTCCTGCCAAGACTTAAAAGCAGGAAATGGCTCTGCAAAACAAAGAATAGTACCATGGGTCTCAATTTTACATGGGGGAGGGGGAGAAATCAGCTATAATTCTTTACATTATGTCAATTAAACAGTAGTTTATTAAAATTTACTCTATATGTGTGTACATATATATACGTACATATATACACACGTGTGTGTCTGTATATAAGTTTTTGAAAAATAGGATATCTTCATCGCCTACTATAGGGTAATGTTATCTGAACTCAATGTTTTTCAGCTCAGTTCTATTTTCACAGAGAATGTTAGATCATAAATTTCTGAACTCAGATGCAAAGCAAGAAAGAACACTGTCAAGCACTTTAAAATTATATTAAATAATTTTTTATGTCAGAGGAAGTATTCATTTAGAAACAATAAACACTAGTCCTCAGTAAGATTTAGCTTAGCTTGATAATGCCACATGAAATGTTTCTTGTCAAGTGGCTATCTGAAGAAACAGAAGCCATTCCCAACACTATACAGAATACTATCAAAGGGAGCTCTTTGACTCTAAAACAACTATAACATTTTGGAAGCCAGGGATGTGGCACACTGGTAAGAACACATGCTCAAAAACTCAGACTCCAGCTGGGTTCATTCCCCGGCACCATAAAAAAATACATATTTTTTATAAATACATATTTTTAATTCCCAAAAAACATTAGCTCATCTGAGAGCATATGGTCTCCAACATTAATCTGTGGCAGTTATTTTGTTATATTCAACTTGTAATACATATTTAAATAAACACAATATTATCTATAAAATTTAATATCATTAATTCTTCTCAAGCATATTTTAATTGTTTGCAAATAAAACCAGATGGATCTGGCTGATGCCTTAACATACATAGATTTGATTATATACAGAACATATATATATATAAAAAAAACACACAATCCACAATATATTCCAAATACAAAACTAACTTCATGTATCACTGGAGACCAGGAGTGGGGGAAAAAACATTTCCATCTGTACAGACTTTATAACTTTAATTCAAAACTATTATGCTTTGATTTTATTTATACTAAAAATAAATTCTACATCTTTTTTAATAGCTTGACAGTGTCAAAATTCTAGAATGTTATATTGTTTTTCACAAAACAGCTACAGATGTCTACTTTAGTAATTTAGTTTAACTTTATGTATTAGCAATTTAAAGCATTACTTCTTTTTCCAAGGTATTAAGGACATAATTTAGTTAGTTTTTAAAGTCCAGAGAAATCTGATAACTAAAAAGTAGGTACAAAGCGTGCAATCCCACAATAAACCCAGCAATAAAGTGATTATTATCAAAGCAACCCTTGTACCTGCTTCCCAGCAAATAACTCAAACATTTTATGAGAAATCTCCTGTTTTAAGAAAAGAAGGAAATAACAAAAACAATTTCTTCTGGGTATCGGTTTTAACCCAGAATATTTTTCCCAAGATATGGGGACAGCAGGAGAAGGGCTATTAAGAAGGCAAACAAAGTGAACCATTGAAAGGCAAAACAACTAAACTATGGTGAACCATACTTACCCTCCCCATCTCTCTGCAGATGCATTGTTTTGAAATCAATGAGGGGAAAAGTGATAGGGCATGACGCTAATAAAATGGAAAAAATGGCAAAAAATACTAAAGTGAACACACAGCACAGTCAGAACAAACCATACACATAACTAACACAAAAGCCAAGATACCAAAAACATTTCCCTAAAACCAGTTAGGTATTCTGCTCAAAACTTTATACGAAGAAATTACTAATGACCAAACTTTAAAAACAAACACAAACATACATTTCCATTTCAACAAGCAAGGCAAAAAAAAAAAAATCAAAAGTAGAGCTGTTTATTAAAACTCAAACATAAAACTAAAGAAATGGAAATTCTTAAACAGGTACTGTTTGAAACTTTTTTATAAAATTGGTATGATATAAAAATATCTCATTTAGTTGATTCTTGAAAACACCTACTGTGGTCAAGAGCATTAGCAGAAAACATGTTCATTTCCGTTAAAAGCCAAGGCCTTTAAACCAGGAGTTTCAAATTCATGATGGTGGTAGCCACATACAACCTGCTTGCTAACTGAATTCTGCTTACTATTACTGGAGCAATACAAAAACAAAAGAAAACAAAACACCCACATCCCCAGAAAGAGTGAGGTGGGTCTCTATTTGAAGTCATACAATTTCTCTATTAAGAGTTGCACTGATGGGCCGGAGTAATAGTACAACAGGTAGGGCACTTGCCTTGCACAAGGCCAACCCAGGTCCAAACCCCGGAACCGCTTACAGTACCCAAGCACTGCCAGTAGTGATCCCTGAGCAATGCCAGGTGTGACCCAAAAAGGAAAAAAGAAAATTAAAACTAAAAAGAATTACACTGAACAAGGTTTCCCAGATTCTAAGATTTCTTGGGTTCTGAAGTTAGTTGGCTATTAAAGAAGAATTTCTTATTTAGATTATTCTAAGTCTTAACTATAGAAAACCAATCTTCGTATTAGTGCAAAGTGAGGATTCACATGGTATGGTCTGCTGAGAGCCATAGTCCATCCAAGGTCACAACTGAGAGTTCACCCGATGTCTAATCTTGTTGAGGTGGGGGGTGAAGATTTGGGTATCAGACCCAGTGGTGCTCAGAGTGACTCCTGGAAGTCCTTAGGACACTATACATGGTGCCAGGGATCAAACCAGGCACATGCAGGGCAACATGCTACATCTATTGTCTCTCCAGTCACCCCTCACCAATGCCCAAACCCCACCCCAGGCAACTATGGCTCTTTTAAACTAACACCTAGTCCTGGAAGAGCCAGCAAGAGGCCAGGCAGGGCTATATGAGTCAGGAGGGTGACAGGGCAACTCAGGCACTAAAACTCAGGAATACCAGTTACCTTAACCCCCTACCCATGCTGGAAGAAGCAGATTCTAACATGAGAAGAAAGCAGCCCAGAATCCAGTCTTTTTGGGAAAGCTGACAGATCACTGCAACTGGGCAAAGAATGAAGTCCCCTTTATACTTAAAACTAAGGAGCAGAAGAACAAGGATATGGCTGGGGAAAAAAAGAGGCCCAGTATGTGTGAGATCCTGAGTTCAACCCCTGGCAGAACATGGCCCCACAAGCACCAACTGGGTGGTACTCGAGTGTGCTGGAGCGCTACTGGGGACTGCACCAACAGGCCCCAAATTGTTGGGGTACACACCATTGGTACAGCATTACTAATGTGGCCCCCATAAAGTTTCTAAGTTATTAAAATTTTAAAAAAAGAAAAGAAAGAAAGAAAGAAAAGAAAATCACACAATTAAAGATCAGGAACTTCAGGCCAAAGACTGTAACAGGCTATTTATTCTCCAAGAGGAAGAAAAGTAAATCTCTTGTCACAATCACAGCCATTCTTTCAGACTATTCCTACAGAGGCTCCAGGGATGCTCTGCTGATTATCCCTGCTCCCTTTAAGTGACTAAACATGAATTAACTAAAATGGGTTATTTAGGGGCTGGAGCAATAGCACAGCGGGTAGGGCATTTGCCTTGCACACAGCTGACCCGGGTTCAATTCCCAGCATCCCACATGGTCCCCTGAGCACCAGGATAATTCCTGAGTGCAGAGCCAGGAGTAACCCCTGTGCATCACCAGGTGTGACCCAAAAAGCAAATAAATAAATAAATATAGATAGATAAATAAAATGGGTTATTTATCTTCCCTGCCACCAGGATGTCAGCATATCCCGAAACTCTCGGGAGTATCTCTGTAAGTTACAAGCATTCTGAATAACTCAAAACAAATGTCTTGTTTAATCCAGACATACAATGTGCCACTGGGTATGCCAAACATCTTGATTTTTAAAAGTGGGGGAGGTAATAAAGTTTGGCACAGACAATGACTTGTTTCACATGTATCCAATTTTAAGTATGGCTAGAGACAAAGATCAGAGGTGGCAAAAGAAGTTTGTGGCACTGTGTAATTCCTCTTGTTACTGTCACTGTGTCATCAAGCTAATGCACCAACAGTGAGATAACTAAGGGATCATCTTTCAAGAGAACAAATGAATAATTCTGTTTTAGATTCCTGTATTGCCTCATTGCCTAATTAGAAAGGTATATATCTATTCCCAATTCTCCTATCCCCAACACTTTTATTTCAAAGTTCACAAATATACCAGAAAGTTGACTCTTTCGATGAACATCCATTTACCAATCACCTGCATTCTACCATTAATCTTCTCCTATACTTGCTTTATAACATTTATTCATATGATTAATCATTTTAATTTTTTTCAGGAATATCAAAGTGAAAAGCAATCATACTGCCCCACAAATAGAGTAGCATGTAAATCATTCACTTGAATAGTTACTTTGCTTCTTAAAAAAAAAAACAAAACCTTGGGGCTGGAGAGATAGCACAGCAGGTAGGGCGTTTGCCTTGCATGCGGCAGACCCAGGTTCGATTCCCAGTACCAGTATCGCATATGGTCCCCTGAGCACTGCCAGGAGTAACTCCTGAGTGCATGAGCCAGGAGTAACCTCTGTGCATCGCCGGGTGTGACCCGAAAAGAAAAAAAAAAAAACTTTAGCACAAAGAAATGCAAGTTTTAAGCTATACATATATATATATATGTATATATATATATATATATATACACTGAATTTTGGTAAATATAATGCAACCAGATTGCTTTTTACATTTTAATCTCTCTGTAAAAACTGTTAAAACTCTGCTCCTATACCTTCATCTGATTATAGTACATTTTTTTACTCAGAAATGCCTTTGAAGATCATTTAAAAAAAAAACTACTGATTATCATAAAAAATTTTATCACCCTTATAATTACTGTTTAAAGACATTAAGATTCCCAAACCTGGGATACTATACACTTCGAAAGACTGGCTGTAAAAAGCACCTATGGTATAACAATTAACAAAACGAATCCTGGGTGATTTTCTCTTTTAGTCAATTATAACATCTTCAAAGTTAATGATCAGAAGAACTTCCAGTTCATACAAGGCAGTTGTCCCACAATCTCATTAGAACATTTCAGAAAAAATGCTCAATAATCTCATGTGAAAGAAAAGACAGAAAAATCAATATGAGTAAGGTTGTCCAGAAAGGGTAATGATCTCAGTACCACTCTGGGTAATTTAAGTTACAAATAACATTATTAGGAAAACAATGTGTGTGGGTAAAATTACCTTCCCATTTATCACCATCAGAAACATTCTTCAGATCTAAAAGTGGGATGTGGACACATGCTGCTTCCCCTTGAAAACCAACACTTAAACCTCCTGGCACTTCTGAATCAGTGTTGGCATTCAAATCACAGATCTTGCTACAAGAATCCTGTATTTTAAAATAAAAAATAAATTTCACAATCATGAAGCATTTCAAAACAAGCATATATCCTCATATAGTTGTCAGTTTACCATGCCTATATAGTCAACTGCTCTATTTCACCATCCAAACTATTTTCAAGTACTAATTTACTTTTATAATATGTCACTGTCACTGTCCTCCCATTGTTCATCGATTTGCTCAAACGGGTCCAGTAACGTCTCCATTCTGACAATTGTTACTGTGTTTGGCATATCGAATACGTCACGGGTAGCTTTCCAGGCTTTGCAGTGCGGGCAAGATACTCTCGGTAGCTTGCCGGGCTCTACAAGAGGGGTGGAGGAATCAAACTCAGGTCAGCCATGTTGGCCGCTTGCAAGGCAAATGCCCTACCACTGTGCTATTGCTCCAGCCCTTATAATATGTATATACGTGAATTTTACAATACATTTTTCAGAAGCAAGTTTCTTGTAATCTAAAGCAACACTGTCCTCCGGTTGTTCATTGATTTTCCTCAAGAAGGCACCAGTAACGTCTCCACTATGAGGCTTGTTGTACTGTTTTTGGCATATCAAATACACCACGGGGAGCTTGCCAGGCTCTGCCTTGGGGGCGGGATACTCTCGGTAGCTTGCCAGGCAACTTTATCAGGAGTGACCCTGAGCACAGAGACGGGAGTAAGCCCTAAACATCACCTGGTGTGGACCAAAAAACAATTTTAAGAACTATAAAAAGGGGGTATGGTGCCGCCAGCAGGTCAATCTGTACCTGTGAGGCGAGTGCATCAGCAGCCTGATGGCACCTTCAGACTTTCAGATACCCCAAAATTGCTGCTTTGCCTTTGGCCAGACCCCAAAAACTTGGGGCAAAGTTTACCAAGAAAGTCACTGTCCTCCCATTGTTCATCAATTTCTTGAGCGGCCCAGTAACATCTCCATTGTAAGACTTGTTGTTACTGTGTTTGGCATATCCAATATGTAACGGGTAGCTTGCCAGGCTTTGCCATGCGGGCAAGATACTCTCGGTAGCTTGCCGGGCTCTCCAAGAGAGGTGGAAGAATCGAACCTGGGCCGACTGGGTCGGCCACGTGCAGGGCAAACACCCTACCCACTGTGTTATCACTCCAGCCCACCAAGAAAGTAAATGGCCAAAAGTTAGGTATGTGGGAGACACACCCACAAACCACCTCTGGCTCAGCTATATAATTGGAGGCATGGCTTCTCTGGTTCCTGATGGAACTGCTTAAAGGCTGTGATCCCAGAGACTCAGAAACAAATCTCGAAACCCAGCAGCTTTTGGCAGAAATGCGTCTAGTCCCTGTAGTAAGTTACAGGCACTAGGCCACCCAGGAGGGTATAGGTTTCGTGCCTTGGCCTGTTCCCCCTGGTAGCCCAGTGGCCGCCATCCTCCAGAGGCCACTGGACAGTCGTTTTGAGCTCTCAGTGACGAGACACATGGGGCCTCATGTGATGGGGGTGGAGCCGGCCCTTTCTTCCCCAAACCAACGAGACACCCAGTCGCCGCCCATGAACTGCCTCTCTGGCTCCTGATCAAGCCGTTTAATGGCCATGATACCAGAGACTTAGAAGCAAATCGTGGAACCCAGTGGCTTTTGGCAGAAAGGCGTCCAGTTCCTGCAGGAGGTTTCCAGCACTGGGCCACTTCAGGCGGGATAGGTTTTATGCCTTGACCTGTTCCCCCTGGTGGCAAAGGGTGCTGTCCCTCCTCCTGCTCTACCTTGGTGGCTTGGTGGCCACCATTTGCCAGAGGCCACTGGACAGTCAGGTTTGGGCCAGCAGTTAAGAGACACGGGGCCTCACAGGATGGGGGTGGAGCTGGCCTTTACCTCCCCGTTCCAATGACATCCCAAGTCGCTGCCCACTAACGGCCTTTCTGGCTCCTGATCAAGATGCTTAACAGCCATTATCCAAGAGACTCAGGAAAAAATCTTGGAACCCAGCAGGTTTTGGCAGAAATCCCTCCAGATGTTAAAATTTTGAAATTTCAAAATCATGCAGCCACTACCGCAGCCATGCTACTGTCACTGTCATTATCCTCCCGTTGTTCATCGAATTTTTTGAGTGGGCCCAGTAACATCTCCATCGTGAGACTTTGTTGTTACTGTGTTTGGCATATCAAATACGTCACTGGTAGCTTGCCAGGCTTTGCCCTGCGGGCAAGATACTAAAGGTAGCTTGCAGGGATCTCCGAGAGGAGCAGAGGAATCGAACTCAAGACACGCCCTACCCGCTGTGCTATCACTCCAGCCCAGCCATGCGACATCATATGTTATTCATAACCAGCAATAACAAATTGTCTACTGTTGCCTTTTCAGCAGATCTGAGTGTTGTAGTTAAATCCCAAATAATAATGGTGGGTCTGGTGTCAAAATACTGAATGTAATCAAAGCAGAGAGAGAGTAATGTGAAAATCATCTGCCCCACAGGTAGGGCAAGGGTTTGGGATGGGTGTATACTGGGGTTTTTGGGGATGGAGAATGGGCACTGGTGAAGGGATGGGTGTCTCATTGTATGAACGAGACTTAAACCTAAAAGCTTTGTAACTGCTCTCACAGTGATTCAATAAATAAAATTATAAAAAATTTTAAAAAAAGAACTGCAAGAAAAAAATAATTCTTACCAGCATCAAGTTAGACAATTTATCACTGTCAAATGATAAATATTCATTCCTAAAAATACAAATAAATTTATTAGTCTTTTAATACTACCACAGAATATTTATTAATCATAATTTCTCTTTCCCATAAAAGTGAGCATTTAAAATATAAAAAAAATTGATAACTAGGATCTATGTCCATTCTTTGGAGCCCTATATCTGAAAATCACACACTACTGAAAAGATCCACAGAATCACTTCAAGTTCAGAAAAATTACATCCACCAACCTCCCATATAAACATTCACACCCCCCTAAAGAAAACCATTTTTAAAGGAAAATTTAAATCTACAACAGAGACACTGAAAGGACTGAATAGAACTATTCTGTAAAATGAGTACTTGTTTTAACTAGTTTTATTCTCCCCACTCAGGGAAGTTTATCTTTTATGTTTCATATCTGTGTTTTATTACAATTAAAACTGAGTTGCTACTTCTAAACCTCTCCTTCTTCAAAACATCACAATAACATGTAGCATTGTAGCACTGTCCTCCCGTTGTTCATCAATTTGCTCGAGCGGGCACCAGTAACATCTCCATTGTGAGACTTGTTACTGTTTTTGGCATATCGAATACACCATGTATTCAATATCAAAGAGCTTACCGGGCTCAGTTATGCGTGCAGGAAACTCTCGGTAACTTGCCAGGCTCTCCGAAATGGATGAAGGAATCAAACCGGGGCCGGCTGTACAAGGCAAACGCCCTACCCTCTGTGCTACTGCTCCAATCCAATAAATAAGTAAATAAATAAAATTATCTCTGCATATCTCACCAGTAAGTAAGCCTGATGTGACAGTTCTAAAAGACACTGTGGCTATTTATAATGATACACACGTGCCAGTCTAGCTGGTCACAACAGATTGTGCACTCTGAAGAAAGGTACAGATCTCAAGATGGCAAATCATCTTGTAATTACCCTATTCTTGCTGATCAAGAGAAATGAACTAAATTCCCTGGTAAACTCAAAGACCTTCTTTGATTTAGGGTTGGAGCAAATGGTAGAATGAACTAAACTCTTTCCTAAGAGAGTCAAAGACATAAATAATCTACATCCAAGAAATATGAGTGTTAAACATGCAAAATGTAATTCAGCTAAGGAACTCTTTGGATCTAAAAAAACAAGTTTGCTAACCTATACACAAGTTGAACAGGAAAGAACTTTTTCCAAAAAGATTCAGTCCTCACTAAATGGATCCTTATTGTTCTATCAAATCCAGATGTCATCATTCTGGGGATGCCTGTTAATCTTATATCTTCAGCCCATAGCTCCAATACTCCCTGGGCTGGAAGAGGATCATTCCTGCCTCCTGAAAGGAAGCACAAGGAACTGCTGTAAGCAGGAAATCTGTGGACCTTCAGAGTATGGGGACACTCCAGAGACATGGCTCCAAAGAATCTACTTACCCTCAAAGATCACGTATTTCCTACTCTTAGTTAAAAAAGGACAACAGCAATAACAAAAATTTACCCTTGCTGACAACAGGCTATCACCAAATTAGTAATACTAAACTTGACATTTCTCAGTATTTGCCATCTACTCTGCAACTTCACTACTGGTACTTTTTCAGAATTATCATTTTCCTAAGTTACACTTCTTGGCAACATATTAAAAGAACTACAAAAACAGTAACAAGACCGAAAAATCTACCCTGTGACTCAAAATATGTTGGAAAGCTCTGGTTCAAAGGGATTTTAATAGTGGAGACTTAATATGGCTGTACTATTCACTGCCTCAGGTGATTACTCCTGCTCCCCCCATTATCCAAGGATCAAGGAGAAAAATAAGCATCAACCTGTATTATATTGTTTTGGGAAACACCAATTAAGAATTCAAAAGGGAACAAAAATATCCTGTACAAATTTTAAAAAGTGAATATAACCTTTTAGTTAGCTACCCATAGTTCCAAGATTATGAAGTACTCTGAAAGATAATGTACTCACTTCCCAACTGTTCAACAAATCAATTATAAGGTGTAAGTCTCTCTAAGGAGGCTGTATTCTTCCAATTCAATGTTTTCCAAGTTCTAATTGTAAGTTTTTCAAGTTATTACTACAATTGTCCACACTATACATATGTGGGTATGTTATCTTTTATGCCTACCATTATAACAAAAACTTGGCTTAGAATACAAAGTATATGCTATTAAATGTATACTAAATAAACACATCTTAAGATTTTACCCAAAAATGTGTAAAGAGCTTCAACTCTCAAAATAATTTATGAAACAAGAGTAAATACCTACCTCTCAAGACAGCCATCCTCATTATTTCCATGGGCACTACATGGCTCTAACAGTATACCTAAGGACTGATAAAAGAGCACAAGACAGTATTAATGCAGTCCTCTTAAACTTCCTTAAAGTGAAGTTTTCCACAATAGCCAGAATCTGGAAATAACCTGAGTACCCGAGAACAAACAACTGGTTAAAGAAACTTTGGTACATCTACATAATGGAATACTATGCAGTTGTTAGGAAAGATGGAGTCATGAAATTTGCTTCTAATTGGATGGTAATGGAGCGTATAATGCTAAGTGAAATGACTCAGAAAGAGGAGGACAGGCATAGAATGACTGCAATCATTTGTGGAATACAAAATAACGTAATATGAAACTGACACCCAAGGACAGTAGAGACAGGGCCAGGAATATTGCTCCATGTTTCAAAGCCTGCCTAATGAGCTGGGGGAGAAGGCAGCTAGAATTGAGAAGGGATCACTAAGTCAATGATAGTTGAAGGAATAGTTCCAGATGGGAGATGTGTGCTGAAAGTAGGTAAAGGACCAAACATGATAGCTTCTTAATATCTGTACTGCAAACCATAATGCCCCTGGGGGGATTGTCTGCCATAGAGACAGGGGGAGGGGTGGGACAGGAAAGGGGGCTGTACTGGGGACATTGGTGAGAGGGATGAATGTTTGACCACTGTATGACTAAAACTCAAAACATGAAAGCTTTGTAACTGTATCTCATGCTGATTCAATAAGTAAATAAAAGCCCAGCGGTAGGGTGTTTGCCTCGCAAGCTGCCAGCCCGGCCAAGCCGGGTTTAATTCCTCCACCCCTCTCTGAGAGCCAGGTAAGCTACTGAGAGTACCTCGCCCGCACGGTAAAGCCTGGCAAGCTCCCCTTGACGTATTCGATATGCCAAACACAGTTACAACAAGTCTCACAATGGAGAAGTTACTGGGCCTGCTCGGGCAAATTGATGAACAATGAACGGGAGGATAGACAGTGCTATATATTTTTTTAATCTGAGGGGGGAAAAAGCAGCGAAGTTTCTATCTAAATTAGGGTATCAGACTACTCATATGGCCATCTTTAACATTTTAGTAGGCTATGGATGTATCTCTATTAATTTATCTTCCTCAAAATTTGAACTGCATGCTTTCTTCTATATATTTTATGGCTTCAGGACATACATCAAAGTCCTTAACCCATTTTAAAAGTTTTTCTTTCTAAGGCCTGAAAAAATAAAACATTTGAATTGTGTGTGTCTGAAAAAGGAGCGTAAACATTTTTCAGCAATTTTTACTTAACCTACACTTAACTATAAAATGGTTTAAATAAAATATAAAGGGGCTGGAGCAATAGTATAGTGGGATAGGATGCTTGCTTTGCACTCAGCCAACCTTGGTTCGAGCACTGGCATCCCATATGATCCTCAGAATGGCCAAGAGTGATTTATGAATGCAGAGCCAGGAGTAATCCCTGAACATCATCGGGTATTACCCAAACCCTTCCCCCAAAAATTTAATAAATAAAATATGCAAAGACTAATGTATCTACAATATTAGTTAAAATTAGTTAAAAAATTATAAATTTAATTGTGACCCCATCAGTTACACGACCACTTGTGAGCTGAAACTCAATTTATGATGCTTTGCGCTATATTATGCCCTAAGACAGACAGGTTAGAACATGGCCAGAATCCAATTTAACATAAAGAGAAATAAATACTTTCTTTAGAATAACCAAAATCTCCTTTCCATCATTCAATGCTGGTAAATAAATGAGAATACCATCAAAATTTTTGTAGGCATTTTAGCATAAAGATAGCATTTCAAATCAATGACGCGACAGATTATTCAACTAATTCCTATGCTGAAATAATTATGCAAGCATCTAGGGAAAAAGCTGGGAAGTCTTCATACCTTTTACACACTGGTATTTAAATATGAACTAAGTACTTAAATATGAAGTGATGGAAGACATACTTACCAGGCACAAAGCCCCAAGTTCTATATCCTGCACACTACGCCCCCCACTCCATGCACCATCTCATCAGTCCTGGTGCCCCCTGTCCAACCTATACCACCAGATTCAAGAACCTAACACTGAGTTAACATCAACAGACCAAGCATCACTAGAACTGCCTGAGTCCTCAGGCTCTCTGAGCACTGCTGAAGATGACCGCTATGGGTTGGCTGTTTTTTTTTTTTGAGAGATGGGGCTGTTTTGGACCACCCTATTCCTGGCTCTGTGCTCAGGAGTGACCTCCATCATTTATCACATGCAAAGCAACCCTCATACTATTTTTTCATCCCAGGGGAGATACTAGAATTAAAAGAGAAATATTATTACTAGATTAGAAAAAAATATTTGCAACTGCTCACAAAATTGAGTTTTTCTTTAATAAAGAAGAAATTACTGGGTTGGAAAGACAAATGATAGTGCACAAGCTTAGCACACGGGAGGAAATCTTTAAACTAAATAGCCTTCTGAGCACTGCCAGGTATCTCCATGGTGGCCCCCCAGTACCATCAGTACCATCATGGCCCCCAAAATCATTCACCCCCCTATTCAATAAATTACAATTGTCTACAAACTGAAAGACAAGAAAAATAATCCCATGAGAAAATATTAAAAGGTTGTGGACAACCACAGCCCGCGATAGCACAGTGGTAGGGCATTTGCCTTACGCGCAGTCAGCCCAGCAGAGCTGGGTTCGATTCCTCCGCCCCTCTTGGAGAGCCTGGCAAGCTACAGAGTATCTAGCCCACACAACAAAGCCTGGCAAGCTACCTGTGACGTGCTGGATATGCCAAACACAGTAACAAGGAGTCTCACAATGGAGACATTACTGGGCCCGCTTGAGCAAATCGATGAACAACGGGAGGACAGTGACAGTGACAGTGACAGGACAACCAGAGGTGAAAATGTCTCTTAACAATTTTATCAAAACATTACCAGGGCCATGGGGCTGGAGCAATAGCACAGCGGATAGGGCGTTTGCCTTGCACGCGGCCAACCCGGGTTCGATTCCGAGCATCCCATATGGTCCCCAGAGCACTGACAGGAGCAATTCCTGAGTGCATGAGCCAGGAGTAACCCCTGTGCATTGCCGGGTGTGACCCAAAAAGAAAAAAAAAATTACCAGGGCCAGAAATAAGGTTCTTGCTGCACATGCAGCCAAGCCTGGATCAATCCCCAGCACTGAAAATGGTCCCGTGAGCCCCATCAGGAGGGATCCTCCCCCAAAATATTTTTCACCAGGAAATACAGAAGAGCTTTAAAAGGGGGTACAACTAAATCATAATACTACCAACCACGTGAACAGTTGAGGGGTTAGGGGTGGTTTGTGGGGAAGAGGTTAAAGTCACACTCAGCTATGCTGGGTACAATGGATACTCTCAACCCACTGTACTATCTCTCTGGCCCCTTGGAACTGTAATTAATTAATTTACTTATTTATTTATTTTGCTTTTTGGGTCATACCCGGCAATGCACAGGGGTTACTCCTGGCTCTGCACTCAGGAGTCACTCCTGGTGATGCTCAAGGGACCATGTGGTATGCTGGGAATCGAATCCAGGTCGGCTGTGTGCAAGACAAACGCCCTACCTGCTGTGCTATCACTCCAGCCCCTGGCCCCTTGGAACTTTAATTAAGCAAACAGGTACATCAGCAAAGATACTCAACTATGATTTCAGGTATCAAAAGAACACATAAAACTATCAGTTATACACCTTGCACAACTTTTTGTCTTTGCGTTTCTTACCTGATTATTCTCTTCATCCTCAAATACAAAATCTTGTTGCATAACTTCAGATCCTAAATTAGTGCCAGCCACAGGTTCTGAACAATCTCTGTTCCTTTCACTGGCAGTAATATCAGCAATATCAACCCTAGTAATATATTTAAAAAATCATATCAGGACAAATATGTTGACTATTTAATGCCTTTCAAAAAAATCAGTAACAATTTGAACTTTTTACTTACATAAGAACAGTTTTTTCATAGAATCCACATTTTATCTTGCCAAGTTAAATATTAAATTAAAATTCATTTCTGTCTCCACAAGATGCTATAAAAGTAATCTTTTGCTATCTCATTGAGCATTTTCATAAGCAAATGTTTTTAAAATTTACATAATTGTTTAAATAATTCAATATAACAACATAATTTTCCTTATAAAAGCATACTTTGACCACAACAATAATCTATTTGTTTTGATAAAAATACAAATCTAGTTAGGTATTTCAACAAATTATTAAGAACAACAGGAATAGCTTCCACACAAAGTTTACATATATAGGCAACTTTAAATAAGAAAATCCTTCCTGCAGGTTATACTGATAGATTATTTCTGAGTGGCAAAAATACTACTGTCTGAGCCTGGGCAAAGGTTTACATAATCTTTGGTTAAGAAAAGGACAAATCCCAGAAAGGAAGTGGGGGTTACAATGACTAGAATTAATAGAGGAACATTAAGCAGATGGTCTGGAGCACATGGGTGGTGCAAAGAGAAGTAACAGTGTGCATCAAAACTATGAATATTGATCAACAAATAATGGAAGGCTGGATAGGGAAAGGAAGGTCAGACCAGAGATTATATAGGGACGGATGCGGGGGTAATGTGTGTACTGTTGTTTGTACACCAATACCATAAACACTACCATAACCCCATTTCCTAAAGTATAGTAAGAAATTTTTTGAGAGAGACATGGGGCTGGTGAGATAGTACAGTGGGTAAGGTCATATATAGTCATATACAGTCCCCCAAGCACTTCTAGAACTGATGCCTGAGCAAAGAGCCAGAGTAAGCCCTGAGCACTGCCAGGCATGCTCCCCCACAACACACCCCTGTCCCAACAAAAAGAAAAAAGGACAAATCACAAAGAATCTACTGAAATTTTATCTTTTGAAACATTTCCTAACTTCCAACTTCCTGATACTCCTTTTATTCCTTTGAATTCAGCTCCGCTGAACCTTTAGATTCAAGTGTGTCAGTGCTAATTATTCAAGGCAAACGATCATCCAAAAGATGCACAGGCTAATGGCCATGTCCATGTACTTCATGTGGCCAAACTACAGTTCTACAATAAATATCCTACTGCTAAAAATATTCCCAGAATGCCGACTGGTCCAGCCTTTTTAGAAAACAATATGGGCATTCCTCAGAAAAGCAGAAACTGAGCTACCATATGACCCAGAAATACCACTTCTGGGAATATTCCCTAGGGGCGCAAAAAACATGCAGAAACACCATCTGCACTTTTAAGTTCAATGTGGCACTATTCACAATGGCCAGAATCTGGAAACAACCCAAGTGCCCAAGAACAGACTAGACAAAGAAATTATGGTACATCTACGTAGTCACCAGGAAAAATGAAGCCATGAAATTTTCTTACACATGAATGGACATGGAAAGTATCATGCTGAGCGAAATGAGTCAGAGGGAGAGGAACAAACAGAACGACTGCACTCTTTTGTGGGATATGAAAATACATAGTATGAGACTAATACCCAAGGACAGTAGAGGGGCCAAGGGCCAGAAGACAGGTCCATGTCCTTTTAAGCTTTCCACAAGGAGGGGGAGGGTAGTTAGGATAAAAAAGAAAAACACTATGACAATGATAGTTGGAAATGATCACTCTGGATAGAAACTGAGTGATATACATGATAACCTTTCAGTACCTGTACTGCAAACTATAATGCAAAGAAGAGAGAGGAAAAGAGAGGAAGAGGGGTGAGGGGAGGGAGGAGGGTGTCTGCCACTGAAGCAGGCTAGGGAGGGGGGTGGCAGGAGGGACCCTGGAGACATTGGTGGTGGAATATATACACTGGTGAAGGGATAGATGTTGGAATATTGTTTGGCTGAAACTCAATCATGAAGAACTTTATAACTGTGTATCTCACAGTTATTCAATTAATATATTCCCACCATTGGTTTTCAGTGCCCTTCATTTTTAAGTTTCCTTTTGTATTTAATAGCTTTTCTAGTGGACTAGACATACTTTGATCTCTTATAAAAAATCTAAGTTTTTTAAAAAAAAGACACTCTACCCAGTATCTTTTTTAAGAGGTATAGAGGGACCTCCCAAACAATGTTCAAGAGACACATGGGATCACAAAAGTAACTCTCAACCAACTGGGCAGATGGTTCAACTCAAGGGTCTAGACTTTAATGCTGCTCAGACCCTGTGGTGCTGAGAATTACGCAAACCACCCCAGGGGAACTGCACCCCATGATGTTTGAGGAACCATGAGGTACCAAGGATCAAATCCAGGTCAGGCTGCTGTACAATCATCTCCTGGCCCCTATCCACTCATCCTTTTACCCTCCTATGAATTCTCAAATTTTAGCACAGCTGGAGCGATAGCACAGTGGTAGGGCGTTCGCCTTACAAGCGGCCAACATGGCCAACCCGAGTTCGATTCCTCCGCCCCTCTCAGAGAGCCCGGCAAGCTACCGAGAGTATTCGATATGCCAGACACAGTGACAACAAAGTCTCCAATGGAGACGTTACTGGGCCCGCTCGAGAAAATCGACGATCAACGGGAGGGCCTTTACCTTTATCTGCCCAAAAAATGAAAACTAATGAAAGCAAACTATGAAATCACTGTATTGTGATCCCAAAGAAAGGCATCTATATGATGTCAGGTATAGTGGCTGAGGAAATATTCAGGATTTAAAGGTCCAGGGGCCAGGGAATAGCTCAGAGCTGGGGTGCAAACTTTGCAGACCCCAAGTACAATACCAGCACCATATCAATCCCTGAGCAATACACGCTGAGTAACCCCTGAGCACTTTAAGTATGACACAAAACAAAATTTTAAAAAGATGAAGTACAGAATAATGTTACACATCAAAATACACAAAGGTACTTTTAATTTAGGAATGAACTTAATTATCAATGGGGCACCTAAAAGAAGTCTGTGGGGTCATGGAAAGTATTCTAAGCGAAATAAGTCAGAGAGGAACAGACAAAGAAAGATTGCATTCATCTGGGGAACATAAAGTAACAAAATAGGAGACTAACACCCAAGAATAGCTGAGATAAGAACCAGAAGGTTTACTCCAAGCCGCACACGCTAGGGGAAAAGGCAGCTCAGATAGAGAAGGGAGCACCAAATAAAGGGTGTTGGGAGGATCCTTCCAGGATGGGAGATCGATGCTGAGAGTGGACTGTGGGCCGAACATGACTGCCACTCAATGTCTCTGTTGCAAACCACAGCACCCAAAAGGAGTGAGAGAATAAAAGGGAATGCCCTGCCACAGGGTGGGATGGGGGGGGGGGATGGGAGGTGGGAGGGATACTGGGATCAGTGGTGATGGAGAATGGGCACTGGTGGAGGGATGGGTGTTCGATCACTGTATAACTGAAACCCTGTACCTCATGGTGTTTCACTAATAAAAATTTAAAAAAAAATTTGGGAAGGGCAGAAGATAATTTAAATAGAAAGGCTGATTCTGCCCACCATTCAGTATCTACATGTCAAACTGCTATCTCTGTCTAGATCACCGCCTCTCACAGTACAACTCACTTTTGCAAAGAGTACGGGTCTAAGTTTTGGGATTTTTTTTTTTTTTTTTGCATTAGAACCACACCTAGCGGTACTCTGGGCTTACTTCTGACTCTACTCTCAGCAATCATTCATAGTAGGGTTTGGGGGGGACCATATGGGATACTGGGAATCAAACCCAGGACCTGCTTGCAAGGCAAGTGCCCTTCTTGTTGTACTATCATTCCAGTCACCAGGTTTAATTTTTAAAGTTACTTTTCAAACAACACAATTTCTAAGTAGGCTACTGCACCTGATGGTCTGGGAAGAAAGCTTGACTGTGTTCCACTTAATTTAGTTCCACAAACTAAATGGAAGATTTGTGAAATTTTCAATGTTAAGCATAGAAAATGTATGTATAAGTACACACAGTTTCCACAGTGACCTTCAGAACCTGATTTTTGTGTTTCTTTTTTTAATAAGTACACACAGTTTTCAGTGACCTTCAGAACCTGTTCTTTGTGGTTTTTTTTTTTTAAGGGGTCTTTATAATGAAACAGTAACTCTTAACAAGTAACTCTGACGAGTTTTAAAAATTTCTTACTGGTTATTAGAATATTCCCCATCACAATTAATACTTCCTGCTTCATTATCACAAACCAGACTTTTCTGTTGTAAATTCTTAAGGTCATGATCTATGCTGCTCTGCAGATCAAAAAGGTGCTGTTCCACAGCTGCTCTAATTGTTCTTTCTAAAATTCTACAAAATAGAACACAGTTTAGTGAGAAGCACTCAGATACCCTAACATGCTATTTGGCCACATAAACATGAGTGTTAAAAATTAGGACCAAAGTCTTTGGGGAGACAGTGGTACAGAACATTTGTTCAGCATGTGGAGTCCCTGAACCAGAGCCCTAGAATCACATGCCTCTACACTACAGCACTGCCAGGTGTAGCCCAAATTAAAGAAAAAAAAAAAAACCCAAAGACAAAGTATTGTTTGTTTAAATAGCTAAACTACACAGAAGGAGAAGGAAGGCTCAAAAAACATGCTTTCTATGCAGGAGCTCCAAGTTTGATTCATGGTATAGTATGCCCCCAAGCACCACTTTGAGCACCACTAAGCTCCCACCCCCCAAATAAAAGAAGTTATTAAATGAGCAAGCTAGAGTGTATTTAAAAAAAAAAAAAGCCTGGACTAGAGAGATAATAGAGCAGTTAAGACTCTTGCCTTGCATGTGGCCAACCCTGTTCAATCCCCAGCAACACATACAGTGCTTTGAGCATTATCATGAATGATTCCCTAAGCACAGAACCAGGAGTAAGCTTTGAGGCACAGCTGGGTATGGCCCTGGCCCCAACAAAAAATACATATATATATATAAAAATATGAATTATTGGTAATGACTTAAAATTTTTAAGAAAACTTGCTCATAATATTACATAAATAAAGCCTGGCAAGCTACCTGTGATGTATTCGATATGCCAAACACAGTAACAATTGTCACAGTGGAGATGTCACTGGGCCTGCTCGAGCAAATCGATGAACAACGGGAGGACAGGGACAGTGAATGTCATTGTTACTGAGATGTGAAGGATAATCTGACCAAACAATTTCTTGCTACTATATAGAAACCCATGTAGAGACTTCAAAGCTATACTGATAAAACAACAATTACTGGAGCCAGATAAATGGCTCCAAGGTAGAGAGCATGCCTCATGACCGCGAAGGTCTGACATCATACACACCCACAAAAATCTACCATCATTCAGTTAAATAAAAGATTAAAAATCTTTTATTTTTAAAGTGTTCCTATATTTATAGAAAATGAAAACCAGAGTACAGAGAGATAGTACAGTAAGTAGGGCCTTTGCCTAGCACATAGCTGACCCGGGTTCGATCCCCAGAACCATATAGGGTCCTGAGCCACGCAAGGTGTGAGCCTTCCGCAAAGCCAGGAGTACAATTTCTTCAGAAAATTCATCTTGGGCTAGGGCAATAATTCAAAAAGCTGGAGTACTACGCTTTGTCTACAATCCCTGGCACCACCTGGTTTTCCAAACATCACTGAGTGTATCCCTGAGCACCAAGCTAGAAGTAGCCACAAGAACTACTGGTTGTGGCCCAGAAACAATTAAAAATCATCTGATTAAAGTTTATGCTCAGGGGGCAGGAAAAACAGTACAGGGGTAAGGCAGTTGCCTTGCACAAAGCCAGTCCAAGGGCATCCCCCAGCACTGCATACAGTTCCCAGCACTGCCAGGAGTGATCTCTGTGCATAGCCAGGGGTGGTGGAACCACCCCTCAAAAAACAGCATCTTATTTTAATTCTTCATTTGTTCTTTCTACAGTACATGTTCTAACTAGGTTTACTGTCTTCAGTATAATCCTTCCTCTAAAGTAAACAAAAGAAGTAAATGATTTTCATTTCTCCAAGTACAATTTAGGGATATCTTTAAATTTTTTCAAAGATGACTTCTGGTCTGAAGATGCAGCACAAGAAGGAAGGCACCTCCTTTGCATGTAACAATTACCTGTGACGCTGGTTTGAATCCCCAGAGCCACAAAGGGTTTCCTGAACACCACCCAAGGGTTACTCCTTAGCACAAAGTCAGAAACAGCCCTCGAGCACCACTAGGTGATACCCAACTCCTTCCCCTATCCAACCCTCTTTATAAAAGGTTTCTATCAGTACACACTTACTCTGCAGAGGCTGGTAAGATGTTGATGGCAGATATGTGGGCACTGTAATCAGAGAAAGAAATTAGCTATAAAATATTTCAATACTAAACGACTATAAAATGTGCTGAAAATTGCCACATTCGCACCACTAATTTGACACATCCACGAAAAGTATACAATACATTTGGATCTAGTAAAGTATGTGCCTAAGAGTCTAAAAATATTCTCCACACAAAGACGCATATGTTTACAATGTACAGAACTCTTCCGTTGGTACTCACATGAAAAAATACAGACTTATTAGAATGAAGAGAAAGTAACTGAACACTGCCCAACCTTTAATGGTCCACAGTTACTCCTAAAATGCTTAACATTCTCAAGCCACAACAAGGTTAACAGAAAATTAGTATGTATATTTCACTGTTAACATCCTATAATGTTAGGTATTATTATACCCACACTTCCAATCTACTGGTTAAGTAAGTTAAGAAGCACTATCTAACCCCACAAAAAAACAAATCTTGATCACATTTTCCAGATACTCAAAGGAACCAGAAAGAGCATTAGTTCTAACACTTGTTAAAAAATCTGGTTTTGAGCTGAAGCAAAGTACAGTAGGTAGGGGTTTTGCCTTGCACATGCCCAGCCCAGGTTCAATCCCCAGCATCGCTTGTGATACCCCGAGCACTGCCAGGAGTAATTCCTAAGTGCAGAGCCAGGAGTAACCCCTGAGCATCGCTGGGTGTGACCAAAGAAAAAAAAATTTTTTTTACGTTTATGCAATCCAAGTTACATAAATACTAATTGAAATTTATAAATATCATTGCTTAATATGTAAAACCACTGCTACAGATATAGCTGTAACCCTCCCCCTTACTTTTTGATAAGTGCCCCATTATGGGTATTGGGAGGATTTAGGCCACACCTGATAGTACTCAGGAATCATGGGAACACTCCTGGTAAGGTTTGGCAATAAGGCCTGAGTACTATCAGGTATGGCCCAAAAGACAAAAATAAAACTGAATTTTTTTTTCCTTTTTGGGTCACACTCAGCGATGCACAGGGATTACTCCTGGCTCTGCACTCAGGAACTACTCGTGGCAGTGCTCAGGGGACCATATGGGATGCTGGGAATCAAACCCGGATTGGCCGCGTACAAAGCAAATGCCCTACCCGCTGTACTAGCCCTACCCACTCCACTATCGCTCCACCCTCTAACTGAAATACTTTAACAAACTTCAAAATATTCAAAGATCTAGAGGCCCAGAAATGTTATCACTTTATATTATAATTTTAAACTACTGTGCAAATTTTTCTAGATGACACTGGATAGCTGCTCTCTTGAGATATTACCAATTTTTGTTTGTTTTACGGCCACACCTGACAGCACTCAAGAGCCACCTGGTTCTGTGCTCAGGGGACCATAGGAGGTGCCAGGATTCAGACCAGTATCACCCTTATTATCTTTGTACTCTCTCTGATCCTACCAATTATTCTTAAATGGCATTCTCTTTTCTGATTCTTAAACTATTATTTCCTCTTCTTTTATAACCATTCTACTGCACACAAATTTAATTAAAAATACCTGGACAGATAAAGTATGTAGCTAAGTTCTCTAATTAGAAAAGGTTAGTGAACCATGGAGTTTTACTAACAAAGAATTTAACAATCCTAGAACTTTATATGGGAACTTCTATCCATTAAATTTCTACCCAATGATCCCAACTATGAGCTGGGACAGTGCCTCCAAACTAGCAGTCACTGAATTAACCCAGTAAACTATATAAATTACTTTATACAAAGAAAGAACTGCAAAACCCTATCTGAAAATGGGTCGTGGGGGCCCACCTACAAACTATGCAAACAAGTTCTAGCCTAGAAACTGAATAGAAATCAATTCTATCACTTTAACCATTCTATCAATGTTACCTTCAAAAGTCCCCCCCAAAAAATATTTGCAAAGCAGGACTCCTTAGAAATGCTTAAGGGATCAAGGGACCACTTTCAGGGAAACCTATCCTACCAAACCAGATAGTTCATTGTAAGAACCAAGCATGCATTCTCACTTGGACACTGAATGGCAAGGACCACCAGGGCCACACCTAGCAGAGCCCAGGGACTGCCAGAGCTATACATCCAGCAATATTCAGAGGGCTAGCTAAGCAAAGGGATAAAATTGGGGTCAGACTCCCTGGTCCAAGGCTCCAAAATTTTACCCAACCATAACACTCTAATAATACAAAAATAAACTTTAAGAAGAAACATTTGTAAAATGCTATTTTTGAATCACATCAGGTCTGTTCCTGGCTCTATGTGCTGAGACTGTATGTGGTTCTAGGGATCAAAACAGGATTGGCTGCATGCAAGACAAGTACCTAACCTCTAATACTAGTTCTCCAGCCCCAAACTTTATTTTTCAAAAGGCATATTTACACTAATAACTAAAAATTCCTTAACAAGAATGGGTCTTTAAATTCTTGTTTTTAAAGCAGGTATGGCGCTTGCCTGTGCACATGGCCATCCTGGGTTCAATCCTTGACAATGCATATAGTCCCTGAAGCACTACCAGGAATAATCCCAAGCAAAGAGCCAGTCCTGAGCATAGTCATGAGTGACAAAAAAATCCAAACAAAATTTATAGATAAGCGAAATTTTCTTTCTCTTTTGCCATACACAAACCAGTTTTAAAATGTTTGTGAATCAATACCTAAAATAAAATATTAAGAAAAGTTCTTTCAAATGAAAATACTACCTTGTTGATGCTGTAACACTATTTGGTTCCAGGATTTTTTCAGTCATCCTCAATTGTACCACCTCTGGCATGTCATTTGATTTTGATTTCTCCACACCTTCTTCCGGAAGTTCTTCTATATGTTCCAGCTTTTCATCTTCCTCTTCCTCCTCTGAAATTTCATTAAGCTATATAAAATGAAAGGAAATAAAAATTAAACTTGATAAAACATAACTGTGAGATATACTACTCTAAAACTTTTAAACACAAACAACTGATTTTATTTCTTCATTTCTTAAGACCAGTCTTCTTCACTCCTCCCATCCCCACCCCTCTCTTTGGTAGCACTGGGAATCAAACCCAGGGTCTCATACATGCTAAGCAAGTGCTCTACCACTGAGCCACATCCCTGGCCCTGGATTCTCTCTTAGGAAGTAGAAAATGATAACATTTAAGGCAGTAATTATTTTACCACTAGAAACGCATGAGTAGGACTATAAATTATGCAGGAATCTGAACATTAAACAGCATTATTTCCAAATCATTTTGAACATCCAATAGTATAAAGACTTTTAATCACTTCAATTTCCAGGTGCATTAAACAGGTGTTCTTAATAGAGCAATTGTGAAAAAAAGGAGGGTATACAAGTTTTGTCTTGAGGTGTTAACTATGCATTAGAAAATGTTAACTTCTAAATGAGTCAGGCTGAATTTCTGAAGAAGACATTACCTTATTTAAAAAAAAAACACTCGTTCTGACCTTTATGCACAACTCAAGATAATATTTCTCTTTTTTGGCAGAGGCTATGTAAGTTCTCTATTATAAATTTGGCTATGTAAGGAGATAATCACTCCAGTAGAAAGTCAATGAAATATTAGAGAAGGAAACCAATAAAGTGTCTTTAAGAAATATTTTTAAGTTACTAAAGAATAAGTCATAAATGGTTGTAACATCTTTTTAAATTTTGTAATCATTACAAAGAGCAGTAACATGAATAAATTTACCTCTATATCTAACAGTGGTGTTTGTCATGATCAACAAATATAGTTGGCTACAACTGTGTCAGAAGGAAAACTTAAATGGAAGAACGAAAATCAAGTTGTGGTATTTTATCACATTTCTAAACAAGTACAGAATACCTGCCTTCAAATATAACACATTAAGTACTTAAGTACTCTGGAAAAAAATAGGTACTCAAGGCAGAAAGATCTATTCACATTCCTACTATGCTCTTAACTACTGCAGGCAACTTAACTTCTCCAGTTCTAAATCGTTAATGGACATCCTGTACTACCTACCTCACCAAGTTAACTGAAAGGATTAAATAAAATACTGAACCTTTTGATTGAGCATCTATATGAAATAACAGCTATCATTATAACCAGAATTCCTATCTTATTTCAATATAGCATAGGCCTAGTTTTCTATGCATAGTGTCACTTTTTCAAGACTGAGTCTGTCATCCACAACTACCTAAAGCATGCATTCTCAGTCACAAGTGGATCAAGAGACTTTCAATAAACAGGAACCCAAGCAAGAAAAAAAATGGCAAAAAAATGCTATGGCTGGGTCAGAAAGATTTGGACACAACTATAGGATTTTTTTTTAAAAATCTTGGGTCAGAGAAATTGCTCAGTGGGCTGAGCATATACTTTCTAATGCAGGAGGGTACACGTTTATCCCTATCACAATCTGGGCCCCCGAGCATTGCCAGGAGCAACCTCAAGCTCAGAATAGTGACCCCTGGACAAAACAAAATGAAACCGGGAAAAAAAACTCTTAAAGGCTAGTAAGACAAATCAATAGGCTGAGCACATGCCTTGAATGCAGAAACCCCTGGGTCAGTACTCAGTACCATATGGACCCAAACACTGTGAGGAGCAAAGGAGTTAAGATAATCTCTATGCATTACTAGATGTGGACCAAAAATAAAAACAAAAAACAAAAATCCTTAAAGGAGGGTAGTGGAAGGGCCCGGGAAATGGCTTTAAAGTGTGGAGATTACAGCATGCTTTCCAGGCCAGAGTCCCAAATGCAAGGTGTGTGTGTGTCCAAATACAGAAACAAAAAACTAAATTTTTTTTAAAAAGCGTACTTAAGAAGAAAATGGGAGTATTCACAGTCAAACAAATTTTTGGTACAGAGGTGCCATTATATCATGCATTTTACCATGCATTTAAAAATCAATTTTAACTATAGTCAAAGTTCTTAGAAACTACAAAACGTAAATGTAACTATATTAACTATAATATATATACATACAACATAATTTATACATATATTATAATCAATATAATTACATTTAGTATTACATTTACACACACGAACACATTCTCTCTCTCTCTCTCTCTTTCTCTCTCTCTCTCTCTTTCTCTCTCTCTCTCTCTTTCTCTCTCTCTCTCTCTCTCTCTCTCTCCAGGATGCCTCGGGTAAATTAACTGATATTCTTTGGTATTTTCAACAATAATCATCAACCAAAATATGGTATGCACAATATAATGTCTGCATTTTTTTCCTTCCACATTCCACTCCAAGGTTTCCTATTATAGCTTCCAATAGTAAAAAAAGACTGAAGTCAGAAAAATGACACATTAAAAGAATGACACATTAGATCACCCCACAGATAACCTCAAAAGTCCTTGACTGGACATGCGGCTCAAGTGGTAGATCATGTGCTTTAAATATGCAAGGTCCCTGGGTTAGATCCCTGGCATGGCATGATATCGCCCCCACCCCAACCTCCCGGCACCACCAGAGGTGGCCCCCAAAGAATTGAGAGGGAAAACTACTAAATTCTCTCTTTCATGACTAGACCATCTACCTATCACACACAATTCTGGTTCAATTACTATGAACCTGCCCTGTGTATGCAGCAGCCGCTTCAACTCCACTTATTATAAACCCTCATCCATACTTACATCTCTTCTTTCTTTGACTGCTGTAATTCCCTTCTCTAGGGCCTCGTGAAATGCCTGCTCTCCAGACTCCAGCTTGTGGAGAACGCTGCTACCTGCCTTCTCAAACGTATAAAGAAACATAATTATCACCTACATCTTCAAACCACTCTACCGGATTCCATTCATTTAAGGATCCCATACAAAGAACATGGCCACTGAGTAGGCATTTCTCAAACACTCCCTTCATCATCATCGACAGCCATCTCTCACATGCTTATCAATAAAAACCTCTACTAACATAAAAAAGATTCTCAAGTCAAAAATTATTGGGATGAAACAAAGTAGAAAACAAGTGTTAAGAAAACATTTCTTCCTTCAAATACCAAATTCATGAGAAAAATTAACACTGTCAGAATAAGTAGGCAGTTCTACCCACATCTGTGTATGTGTAGGTAAGAAATTAGCAGATTTGAGTCAAGCCAATTTAAAAATACAACCAAATAGTGTAACACTTCAGGAGTTTTTACATTCACTCAATACCTTATTGATTAAACCTCACAAGTCAAATGGAAATTATCAAATAAATTCTGAAAACACTTTTAGAAAACTGTTCCACTGTTACTTATAATTCAGAAACATAATAAAAGAGTTGAGAGAAAAGGATTCTAGCAATTACCAGTATTGGCCAAGACAATGAAATATACGTTACTCTCAGTACTTGTTCAGTAACCCATTTAATAAGCATTCTGTTGAACACTCTAATAGTCTCCTTTCTATCCAAAGGCAAATCTTTAGAATTTAACATTATCTCCTGCTATTATTTATCCACCATCCTATAGAACATAAGATTCAATTTTCTAGTGTTTACAACACTACAAAATAAGTACATAAGAGGGACTGGAGAGATAGTACAGCAGGTAGGACACCTGCCTTGCATGCAGCCAGAGGCCAAGCCAGGTTTAATCCCCAGCCTCCCATATTGTCCCCCCAAGCACTGCCAGAAGTAATTTCTGAGTGCATGCAGAAGTAACCCCTGAGCACAGCAGGGTGTTGCCCAAAAACAAACAAAAGAAAGTAGTACACATTAGGAGCGTGAGAGAGATAGTAGAGCTGGTAGGGCATTTCCCTTGCATGAGGCAGACCCAGGTTCAATCCCCAGCACCCCTATAGTCTTCCCAAGCTTGTCAGGAGTGTTCGCTGAGCACAGATCAGGAGTAATCCATGAGCACAAGTGGATATGGCTTAAAAAAAAAAAGCAAAACAATCCACAAGAATCAAAGTAGATCATGCAGACTTTAAATGAATAATTTAAAAATATCAGAGCAAACTGGCACCTTCTGCTTCTTATGTTAAAATTATCTTGAAACATGGAAAATAAATAAAACATGTATTATTGAGTAATCACAGTAGGGAGCCCACACCTAACAGTATGGGGTGGGCCAGACTGCTCAGGACACCAGAGATTTGAACTTCTGCCCATTATGTTTGTACAGCAGATGCTAGAAGCTCTTGCATTACTCCTCGGGTCTTGTTTTGGATAGGTGGGGACCAAAAACTGAGCTGGCTCAGTGCTCAGACAACCATGTGGTGCCAGGAATGTACATTGGGCAGCTGCATATAAAGCATAAACTCAGTCTCTGGTCTCTCTGGTCCTCTATTAATTTTAAAAATAACCGACTGAGGGCTGAAGAGGTAGTACAGCAGGTAAGGTCCTTGCCTTGCACATAGCCACCCAGGCTCAATTCCAGCACCACAAATAGTTCTACCATGTTACGCTAGGAGTGATCCCTCACCAGTGAGGTGTGGCCCAAAAACAAAACAAAACAAAAAAATCGTAACTTGAGAAAGGTGGTACAAAAAATTTTCAAAAGGTAAGACTTCTCTAAGATCCCAGAGACTCAAACAAATCGTGGAGCCCAGCAGCTTTTGGCAGAAATGCATCTGGTCCCTGCAGTAGGTTACCAGCACTAAGCCACCCCACGTGGGAATAGGTTTCATGCCTTGGCCTGTTCCCCCTGGTGGCCCGGTGGACGCCATCCTCCAGAGGCCACTGGACAGTCAGGTTTGGGCTCTCAGTGACGAGACACATGGGGACTCACAGGATGGGGGTGAAGCCAGCCCTTTCCTCCCCGTCCCAACAAGACCCCGAGTTGTCACCCACAAAAGGCCTCTCAGGCTCTTGATCAAGCTGCTTAATGGCCATGATCCCAGAGACTCAGGAACAAATCTAGAAACCCAGCGGCTTTGGGCAGAAATGCGTCCAGCCCCCACAGTAGGTTACTGTCACCAG